GTTGCAAAATTTGTTTTGGTGATCACAATGAGAAAGATTGCATGATGTAGAATCCTTTTTGAATGCTTTGTGTTTTGGAAAATCCCTCCATGTTTACATATTTTTGTTATGACATGACGGACTTTTTCTGTTGACATTTTTGGTATTTTATTTGATTCCAATTTGAGATTTTATCATTGTATATTGTTATTCTTTCTATATATTTGTACTTATATTGAAGTTTTTGTGTTTGCTTCTGATCTGTATATATGTTGTTTAAATTTGATCTTTAATATGGCTACAGCCATATTTGGATTGATGCAGTGGCCGCTGGACTTAGCGTCACTTATCTAACACTGTTTCTGATACTCTTCGAAGTAATTGTATCCTGGAAGAGGCACTATTTCCAGGTAATGCTTTGTATTTCCATGTTTTTATTTAAATAAGAGGCTTTCTCCTAGAATTTTTGTCCTTTTTGATTTTGTTGGGACCCGGGACTGGGAGAATCGTACAGGAGTGCCCCCTATCGGAACCCATTGGAACGGCCACTGTAGAAATTCATTTACATATGATATTATCAAAAATGAATGTTACAGAGAAGAGACAGGAAGTGAGGAAGTGTGGTCTATGTTACCTGTGTTTAAGGAAGAGTCACATAGCTAAGTCGTGTAACTCGGACATAAAGTGTGACGTTGATAATTGTAAGATTCGGCATAATCCATTATTACATATTGATGCTACTAACAAACATGTGGTGAACTTTGCTAAGGATTGGAAATTCTCAAGGGTTTGTTTGGGTATCATTCCGGTTGGACTATATGGCCCCAAAGGATGTCTGGAAACATACGCTCTTCTAGATAATGGTTCAGATACCTCTATTGTATGCGAAGAGTTAAATAATCGGTTAAATCTCAAAGGTAAGGAGACTTCAATAAAGGTGACGACTGTGAATGGAACTTCTGCTTGTGTATGTCCGGAAGTAGATTTAGAGGTATTTTCATTAGATGAACTGGGTTCTATAAAGATCAACAAGGCCTATACGACTAAGAAACTTCCGATCAGATATGCAGAACCTTTAACTGAACTCCAGCTGAGAAGGTGGAAGCATTTAAACAACACAACCCTACCGAAGTTGCAAAGTATTCTTGTAGGAATATTGATTGGGTGTGATGCTCCAGATGCATATTGGGTCCTTTAACAACGCCTGGGAGACAAGGATCATCCGTTTGGTGTGCATACTCATCTCGGTTGGATGACTTTAGGTCCTAAAGTAGTATTGGGGTCTGTACATCAAGTTCAGTGGTGTCATTGTTCTACTAATGATATTTTGCGAGATATAGAAAGATTGTATAATCATGAGTTCGAGGATGCAGATGGGTTTCGCAATGGATATTCTGTCGAAGATAAAAGAGCTCTAGAAATAGTTAATATTTCCTTTAGACTGGAGGCTGGCCATTTCCAAGTTGGTCTACCCTGGAAGTATGATAAGCCAAGGCTACCGAATAATTTGGAACTAGCTGAACGTAGGCTAGAGCGTTTAAGGAAGCACGCCTTTACACCACGATAGCGTTTTGCATTCCTAGACTGCCTCACTCGTCACATCTCAAGTCCATTGATTCACCACGTCTATTGGCCTTGAAATTCAGGGATCAGGAAGACCTAACTAAGGCGCTTCATGTTACGGGAGAAATGAAGACATTTGGCTGATTAAAACCTTTATATAAATATCATTAATTTCACTGTGTTTTTTGGGTTTATTTGTTTTACTTAACTTATGAACTTGTTTGATTTATTATTTTCGGCCATTTTGAATTCCGTTTGTCTTGGTTTTGGTCATTTGGAGTTTTTGCTCCAGGAACCTATAAAATTGAAGGTAATAGTAAGTATTATAATTATTGTTGTTAGAACGACATTGGTCGTCTATTTGTAAATCGACGAACGACATTTTAGTCGATTATTTGTGAATTACGAATAAACTTTGGTACCTAACTTTGGAATTTGGTTTTGCTGTTAATTTGGGTTCGTGAATTGCAAATAGATCGACAAACTGTACTTCAATAACGGAAGGAGCAAAATTGGACGTAACACTTCAGGCTTGGTATAGCTCAAAAAGACCCCACTAGGCATATTAGGTGTTGCGAAAGCCTACCTAGATCTGTGAGACAACAGCAGGGAAGCCACAACAAACGTACAAAACTGAAAGTTTACATCGATCAGCAACCCTCGGCACAAGAAACGAAGATAATAGCCTCGCTGATTGAACTCACTGCACAGGTAAAAAGCCTGCAGAGGTCAGTTCTGCAAAACGCTATCGTGGTGTAAAGGCGCAGGCTACGTGATAGTCATCTCCACAATCGCACATGATTCACATACGCCGTGAACTGCCATACTGGTTTGCTCTTGAGCGTCTAGTAATATATCCTGGCTTCCGCTCTTACCAGCCACGCTTTATCGTACTTGATACGGATCGGGAAGACGACTTTACCAGTGGTCCCTGGGGTGAGTGGACATATGCGCGTCCACACCTTGAGGTTAACAACGTCGTCGCATCCATTCTCCTTAAAAGAGACACAAATCTCTTGGATCGAGTGCAGAGACAGGCAACGAAACGGGTGATAGGGTTGAAGAATAAAACTTACGAGCATAGACACCAGCACTTGGGATTGTTCTCGGAGTTACAGGAGGATCAGAGGTGACCTGATAATAGTGTACAACATGCTAAGCACGCATCTTACCGATGCATCGCCACCACTCCCCTCGAGGCAATCTTCGAAGAATTGCGCATCAAAGAGCGAGTACTCAGATTCGTGCACACTTTTTCTCACTAAGAGTTGTCGCTACTTGGAAAGCTCTCTCAGCTGGGGTGACCACAACCCACTCAGTGGACAGCTTTAAGAAGAGACTTGATGAACACGTACTCATATACGGATGATCATCTTCCTCGTGGTCAAGCTGTGCCTGATGCATGTCTGAGGACGTGCCGAATGTTATTATTGCCAGCTCCTCAGATCAATAATTTATTCTATCACACGATTTTCAATATCGATTAGTTGACATAATTACCCGTATGTTTACTAAGTTCTGAAATCTTATTAATATTAGAACTTTCTGCTTGTTATTCTACACAACGCAAATAACTGATCTCTGGTCTGGTAATGTGATAGATGCTGGTATTCAGAAACCCTGGTGCCTTGAAACAAACTTACTTATTCAGATCACGGGACATACAAACTGACAAACAACTGTCAACTGACCACATGTACTGCAATCATTGGACAGCTATTTGACACTACCTAGTACCTGTAACCGTATAAAAATAATAAGAATTGAGCGCAAAAAAGTCAGTTGATTTATACTAGCTCCTGAAAACAATATTTTGGATATTATATCTTATTTCAAATTACTATTTGAAATAAAGGTCAGTGTGTTTGCGGGCAAGTAAATTTTACGATACGGTTAGAAGGGCACTGACGTCTATTGTTTCCTCTTTTTATAGATAATCCCTCGGAACCTTTATTCCACGCTATCTTTATCGGTTCAATCGCTATATAGGTGCTATTTCGTGGTTCAGTGAATTTAACATAGTCTACTGTATTTAGCTTACTGTGTGTCATCCATTCTTACGAGTGCTCAGCTGTAGTCATATTTCTCTCCTTAGCCACATAGTTCCAACCTATTGACAAATTGGTCTGATAGATCGTTATTGAATATCAGGAAGATGAGTGAAACTGAGATGGGCCCCTGTGAAGTTGCCAATGTTGAGACTCGCCAACTCGCGTGCACTCTATTTACCTTGGTGCAAAACTTTCCATTCACAAGGTACTTTTTGAGCCAAGATAGGAGTGGGTCAATGAAGCTCGTTCCCGCAACTTTCGCTATTAGGCATGTTTGGGGTATTGTGTCAAAGGCTTTTAGAAAGTTAAAAAATATTACGTGCACCGGTATTTTCGGTCCCAGCAGGTTGTCAAACTGTCTCATGCTATGAGGAGGTTAAGTGTGCACGATTTGCCTTTCCAAAACTCATGTTCAGCTCCATAAATCATTTTGTACTTGTCCGTGTACTACCTCATTTGTTCGTTCACCAGCCCTTCCATAGGTAGTATTGTGAATACTTATCAAAATCTGGAACATCTATTAGTGGTTTTCAGAGTTGCTCAATATCCGTAATTTGGCCTGTTTTCGTTTATGGAGACTGATCACCTTCCACAAGGTCAACTTAAAACACTCAAAGCCTAACCAATCATTCTTTTGAATATTTCAATGAACTGTTTTTCTTACCTTAGATACAAAGTGTTTCATGTTTCGCTAGCATCAACCCCCAGGATCAATCATAGTAAAGTAGTTGGATACTTCAGCCACTTTATTTAACTTGGAAGTTTAAGTAACCCTAGCGGGTTGACGTCTAGTGAGTCACCAGTGTAAGCTAGATATCTGTCTTTCACTGTTTTGTGGGTTTACTGTTTGGGGCGAAACTAATAGTCACAATCGTTTAATAGAACGTTAGTCGATAGGTGAACGCATTGGCGTAATGTGACGGAGAGATGACTACTCATGCTACCATATTATTAACTTGAATGATTAGCAATCAAAGATATCACTAAACAAATGGATGGTTTTCCATATGATATGATAATATGACAATTTCGGCCTTATAGAACTGGGAAAAGCCGAAATCAGATTTGGTATTCACTGAGTGATAATTTCACGAATTTATGTGTCTTGAATCATCTTCAGGTATAGTAATTTTTGCCATCATGGATGCTCTTATTGTATTGGTCTTGTCATGTTGATGTGGCCTACTGATTTAAGTGTTTTGTTCAGGCGTAGAGCTCTTTGACACGAAATAAAGCTCCATTAGTTTGTTTTTCTCTCAATTTTCGTAATGCCGGGTTATTATATAGTTTTTTTCTATTTCAGAATCCTCAACAGTTGAGGTGACGAATATTTCATTGACGATAATTTCCCTCACCTTGTTTACTCCCAACACTTTGTTATCTGATTAGTTTTACAGCTAGGAAATTATGGTTGTAAATGCACCATCTTTAGGTGATTGGAGTGGAAGTGATAGTATAGTAGGTTTAATTTTTTTGTTTTTTCCACTGTTACTTGCTATTTTGTATTTTTCCGTTTAATCTCTTCCATCCAGTTAGACGTAGTCCACAGTACTTAGCTTTTTCCAGCCTGCTAAGGTTGTGTTTATAGCTGAGATGTGTATTTTTCATAACCTAGCATAGAAACGTGTATTGCAATACCGAATCGGTTGTGGTAGCTTTACATAAGAAAGACAGAACATCTTTAACAGGTTCTAGGACTATACAGAATTTATTCAAGCGCTTTTCACTCTGGCATCACTGTCCTCAGTGTCTTGTTCGACGGAACTGTTCATTTCCTTTCGTCAGTGTGCTTATTACTCTTTGGATATTGTGGTACTACTACTACATCCATAGATAAGGTGTTAAATTCTTTCAGATTTAGAAGTCTTGCTTTTCAAATGTGGTTTGGTGTTCGTAGCATGTTCCTACATACTTTTCAGGAGCAATTTGGTATTGGTATCTTGAAAAAGTGATTGGTTCCCTGTTTCACTCTATGTGGTACCTGTTCTGACTTGATATCAAACCAATAAGTGTTTCATTCTATTGGACTTAAAAATGCTGATAACACTGAATCTAAATTGAGGAACGGTTTTGTATCCGTACAGATCATCACTCGTCCTAGTAGTAAAATAAAAGTAAATAAAAAACATTTTAAGGTTTAAATTTTTATAAAAAGTAACATATGGGTCCTTTTGCAGTCGTTAAGGATAACAAGAACACTGAAAAATCGTATTCAATGGTAATTGAACAGTCACAGAACATCGCAAAATGTGGTGTATAATCAGCAGCTCTTATTCACCCATGCTCGTTGCGAGTATATGCTTCCTCATTACTTGCTTTCCTTATCCTAGGTACGTCTGAGTAAATGCACAGAAATAAATTGCTGAATCAGTTTTATTTTCATCTTTCTGTTGAAATACTAGTCACCCATTATTCTCTCTTCCACTGTACTAAGCCTCATGCTCGTGAAAATTTCCTTTTTCTACCAAAATGCTTTTATTTAGTGGGACTCGTCTGTATTTTAAATTCTTCTTGTAATCTTTCATATGCAACAAATTTATCATTTTAAAATTGAAATTCAACACTAAATAGGAGTAAACGTGAGACGTAAATTTTCAGGTGTTGGTGTATTTTTTGGTGTCAACATATCTAGAACATTATGCGTGAAACATTTGTCTGATGAGCTTAGGTTAAAGGTCAATTAGAAACTAATGAAGTAAATTATTCAGTATCTCACAACATTAATCCTATTCTGTAAATTCGAAATTTTGATGTTATTTTATAACCACTCATTTGTTTCCCACAACATATATTTCCTTTTTCTTTACTTCGTCTAAGCAAGTATTATCATATTGTCTCAAACAAGAAAGTTCGCAAAACTAAAGTGATGTTTTTTTCTGTTTTAGAATTCCACTTCTTTCCTTCCAGTAAGTTACTAATTGTCACTAATTGTGTTTATTTACCATTATGTTCATTTATTGGTCCTCTACCAAGTCACTGAAACCACACAAATTTTGATAAGATAAGGGACAAGTGATAACATTGGTAAGAGACGAACGAAAATAATCTTTCGTAAGATATGGGGCTGAGTTAAAAATAGAGCCAAGAAACAGTTCGTTGAGCTTAGAAAGCTCATTTCACTATTATGAGGGACGTACTGAAAAACAAATGCAGGATTGTTACTGGCCACTATTTCTAACTATGTCTGATAACCCTTTAGTACAATAAAATTGCATCCTCTCTAGAACTTCGGCAGGGCAGTTGTGAGGAATCAACAGAAGCCAATCTTATAAAACTATTTCTAATACCACGGAGTCCTATTGTAAACTGACCCTTTTTCAGTTTCGCGACCTAATCCCAAAGTTGGCAATATGGAATTCGCTAAGACATGAAAAGTCACTTGATCAGTTACAACGTACGTACATCAGTTCAAGTTTTCATACCACATTAGCACAGAGACGCAATTTTCGGCTCAAATCCCATAGTCGTAGAGATAGTAGAAGTATTATCGGTAATGGAGAAGATTAGGGTTCGAAAAAAGTATTCAAGAAGTTTAATTCAGTGAACTAAATTCAGAAAGAGAAAGATAGAGGTGATGAAGAATCCAGAAAATTAGAATTTGAGAGAACACAAAGAGTGGATGCACCTGCACCCTTGCAAACGATTTAGAGCCATGTCGTTCAAAGTCTCTATCAGTTAATATCGTCTCGCGTACCCAAACTCAAGACATGGAAAAACCACTGACGCCATTCTTTCGAGATGATGACGACGACCTGATGAACGTCACTGCTTCCATATACACATCTTCAGTATCTGTCATTATTAGTCAGATGGTTAAATACAGATTCATTAAACATTCTCAGTTTGGGGTGGCCAGGCCTCACTAGCGCAATACGGAACTGCTCTCACAGTTATGATAACTGCTTCATTCTTTGCAACCCTCCGTATTTAGTGTTGAAATTTTTACCACAGCTTTTTTATTTCACCATGGGCTTTACCCTCAATTATGAAGATACTTCTCTGTTACGTTCGCCTAGCTACCTATTTATTCGTCACCCGACAGTAGATGCTACCTTGACGTTGTGGACGACCTTGCCTATCGTGGTGACAACCGAGCTATATTGGCTGGAACATATGTTCTTGTAGATTCTACCATGCCCACCAGGTCGATTGGAGAACGACGAGGCTAAAAGCAGCTACTGAACGTCTGAAGGCGAAGTCGTACTGCTGACTGCAGAGAGGTGTTACAGCAGTAAGGCGCTTTCGTCGGACAACCAGCATTTGCAGCGATGCTGCCTTCTTATAAGGAAGGAAGGGTTAGAAAAAGTCGACCCTAAGAATGTCACACCTCACCCTACCTCGCGGATTTCCGTCTCCTATGGTAAGGCCTTTTAAAAAGAGCGGGACCAAGACTGCCTAGTCTTCCTATGAAAGGGCAGTGAGTGACCGGCCCCAAGCACTTGTCCCTTGGGCTCACTTCCAAGTCGATCGGAACAACGGTGTAGGCAGCCGGGAAGTGACATCTGCCCCCATACCCGTAGAAGCACACGACACCAAACTAGTCAGAATCAAACCCCCTATACATTTTAATAACCATCTTACCTCCATTACCAACCCTTCTTTCGTTCCTTTATCACTTCGCGCCGTTGCTGCAAACGATTTGAATTCACGAGACGTCGTTCTTGGTCTACTGAAACCTTCTTATAAACTACTTGTTGGAACTTTTAATGTTCGAACCCCGTGCCAAATACGGCAACAGGCTTCATTAGACAGGACTCTGAAATCCCATGCTGTCAATGTGTATTGCGTCTCCGAAACGCGCATACAGGATGCAAGAAGAATCATTAATTTGACTTCACCTTGTATAAATAAAGAACCGATCCGGTTTACGCTCCGTGTAACTGGAAGCCATGCTGCTGCTTCCTGTGGCCTCGCTGGTGTAGGTATAGCATTGAGTTGCAGGACAGAACTAGCCCCTATAGACTGGATCCCAGCAAATAGTCGCTTGTGCACTGTCCGACTAAACCGGACAGTAAGGACCCGTAAAGATAGGGAATCTTGCGTTGCCTCTTTGTTATCGCTGTTTACGCTCCCACTGACTGCAGTGCAGACGAGGTTAAAGATGAGTTTTACAGAAAGCTTTCGGACCTCCTCCAAAAAGCTAGGCGCTCTGATATAGTAATAATGGCTGGTGACTTTAATGGTCAAGTGGATAGACTGAGTGAAAAGGAAAGACACCTGGGTGGATGCTTTAGTGTCGCTGCCCAAAGATATGATAATGGCGACCGTCTGCTGCAACTTTGTTCAGATAAGCTCTTAGTAGTAACTTTAAGCATAAGGAAAAACATCTGTTGACCTGTAGACCCCCCACGCCGACCCAGCGATGGTCCCAACTGGACCACTTTGTTATCACCTATTGGTGAGGCACCACTGAAGACTGCCACTCATTCTGGAGCACTCTTGTCCGAGCGCGTTTTTGTTTGCGGCTTGTTTGGCATCGGAAAAACACCTCAAGGCAACATCTTAGGGTTCTACTGAATGATAGCTTGGCTAAGAATATATTTCAGGAACAGCTGGAAAAGGAATTAGGCAACGATGTAAGTGATGTTCACTCTGAGGCAGTTTGGAATTAAATCCGTAGAGCTCTGTAAACAGAAGTGTTATCTGCTGGTAAGGTAAAACATAAGGTTAGAGAGAAAAGGTGGATCTCAGTAGCATCTGCCGAACTGATAGATGCTCGGAAACTCATTCCGCCTGACCCTAAACATAACGCAGAGCAGAGTAAGCCTTAGCGCGGACTAATAAGAAGTCTACGTAATGATCGCGAGCCGTGGTGGGTACCGAAAGCATGGTAGATGGAAATGCCAGCGACAATAGGCAACAATAAAAAAATAAAAAAAACAATAAAAAACCACTGTTCAGACCACTTATTCACATTCGGACTGGTCCTAGAACACAGACACATTTCGGCCTCAAACAATGGTTATTTTCCTGGACCTTAAAGTGGCATTTGACTCCGCCGATCGTGAGGTTCTACGGCAGTATCTGTTACTGAAAGGAGTGCTAGAGATGTACATTAACTTTATACAAGCTCTATACTCGGTCATAGGTGTCTCCGAAGCATTGCTTGTATAATCTGGTGCTATCGAGTGGTAAGCAATGAAGATTTTTGGAAACGGGTACTTGGTAAGGATGGCAAATCAATTGATGAAGTACTGAATCTTTATCGGTTGAGGTTGTTAGGACATGTGTTACGAATGCCCAACCACTGACTGCCTCGACGAGCAATGTTTTGTGATGTAGGAGTAGGTTGGAAGAAGGTTAGGTGTGGCCGAACTAAAATACGGTACACATCCATGAAGTCACTAACAATGGACTGAGTCATGTTGGGAAGTGTAGACTACTTGGTTGGGGTCCTCGAGATGATACTAATCGATAGTTATAGACCTTGAATCAACATTGTTTTCGATTGTGCAAGTGCATCCACTTCATATGTTCTGTCAAATTCTAATCTACTGGATTCCTCATGATCTTTTAATTTCAATTCCCTAGGATACGTTTTTCGAATCGTTTCTTCGATCCCACATCATTTTCTTTATCAATAGTACTTCCACTAACTTTACAACTATGTGATTTGAATTTCTAATTTCATCTCTGTGCTAATTTGATATGGCAACTTGAACTAATGTTCGTAGGTACCATATTTTGGTTTTCGCTAATTAGCTGACCTCTCTCAATCTTTTTATTATTTTTTTACTTCGAATTTTATTGACAGATGACTCAGGAACAAAAAGATTGGCTTTTAGCTATTGTTGACTGTGACCAACCAAAGATGACTAGAATGCTAAATCAACATCCTGAATTGGCTGCTTGGAAGGTAAATTTATTTATTTAGGTAAAGGAGAATATGTGCTGTACAAAAATTTCGTCATATTCAAATTCACCTACTACAGATACAACTTCCAGCTCAAACTATTATTCTCAAATTTTCAAATCAGAATAATACATTATCTAATGTTCACTTGAATCGGTGTTTTTGTGACCATTCAGCTTGACCAAAGCTGTTTTCTTGTTGAAAATTTTGTTAATAAACTGCCGATACTTCATAACACTTGTTGACTTATATTGATTTGATATAAAATATGAAATCACTGTACATCTAGAGCCGCAAAAATCTTATTTATCATAAAAGATTGAGAGGAATAATCTTAGTTAACAATGGAATATGTTGCTCAAGTTCGTGTGGATATTTTTGTTTTTGAAGATGTTATTCATGTGGAATATTTTTTCCTAGATCTACCCAGATTTTTAGCTGTTTTATTCATAAACTGATTAAAAATAATTATTCATATTTAGTGTATAAATGTGTGCATTTTTTATGAGTTTCATATGATTATTCATGCCATGTTGTAGTATTCTGATTCTAGTAAATTGTGTTTTCTTCGTTTGTTTTTCAGACAAGTATCAATGGAGTAAGTGAAATAAATATTTCACATTCCACTTACTAATCAATACAAAATGTTGAATTTAATTTTTCCTTTAAATCTAGTACGTAATTACAACTTGTATACTAACTTAATACATTTGATTAAAATTTGAATTGTGCCCAATAGCCAGAATTAAATGGAGTAATTGAGCTAAGCGTTACTAAGATCACAGTTCTTTTCATATCAGAATTAAAATATATTCCTGATTCGACACATCTATTTTATCCATCAATTTCTATTACCTGATTTTCTGTCGCATAATTTCGTTTATAATAATATTGTAACATTTAAGGTTCACCTAAATAGAAGTACTTTTTAGTGATATGTTGATCATAGGTTTCTTTGACGTATTATTGGCGTATCATGAAACGATGCAGTGAGCATTGTTGAAATTTAGGTCTAGGATAAATGGCAAAGATAACAAGTTGATTGATGAGGCTGTAAATCCCCACCGACCGAGTTAGTTGAAACACATGCCTATATATCCAACCACCACACTCCTCAGTGTGCAACGTTGGCTGGCGTAAAATGAAGTTACAAGAAAGCAGGTGCGGTAAATCAACGTTTGACATCAGTCCTCAAAGTTAAAGACTGTTGGTTTAAGTCGTATTGGTAAATAAGGACTACGTGGTTAGGTTTTGCACATTTATTGTAATCTTGGGAGCGGTTGTTATTGGCTCAGAATAAATCATGATCGTGTAAATGCATTCATTCATTGTTTCTACTTAGATCATGAGTTACAAAACTATCTTTTACGTTTTTATCCGGTGGGTTCACACTTTTTCTAGAATCGTATTTTCTATACGTTGCATATAACTGACTGATTGGATCTTGAGTTCTAGTCCTTCTTCACTCGTCTTCATATCATCACTATGATTGGTATCATATTGTTACAAATTGTCTGATGTTCACATCATTAGTTTTCAATTGTCATGCTTATGTAACATGATAACTGACCCACAAACTCTTATCCCAGGCTCAGAATTAAATTTTGACTCGAGTGACGTTCCTACCATAATTTACTTGTTGAAATTGGAAATGGTTACTGAACTCTATTAAGTTAAACAAATCTACTTAAGTCAATTTACTTACAATCATCCACCTGAGCTACAGATTTTCTCCATCAGTTTACTTCTGCAAATGAACAGAATAGACATGTAACCATGAAAATTTCGATTTCATTATGTATGTGAATTAAACCCATAATGTAGGTTGTCACATCATTCAGGCAGCATATGATACGTACGAACATTAGTTCAAGTTGCCATATCAAATTAGCACAGAGATGAAATTAGAAATTCAAATCACATAGTTGTAAAGTTAGTAGAAGTACTATTGATAAAGAAAATGATGTGGGATCGAAGAAACGATTCGAAAAACATATCCTAGGGAATTGACGTTAAAAGATCATGAGGAATCCAGTAGATTAGAATTTGAGAGAACATATGAAGTGGATGCACTTGCACAATCGAAAACAATGTTGATTCAAGGTCTATAACTATCGATTAGTATCATCTCGAGGACCCCAACCAAGTAGTCTACACCTCTCAACATGACTCAGTGCATTGTTAGTGACTTCATGGATGTGTGCCGTATTTTAGTTCGGCCACACCTAACCTTCTTCCAGCCTATTATAAGTCAACAAGTCAGTTACCTGGTAGAAGGTCAACTGTTGAAAAGTGAGATAACGAAAGTGTCGTCTCTGAAAGCATGTCAATGACAAAGTTTAACCAAAATGGAGAAAATGAGCACCACTCGAGGAAAAGTGTTTGACTAGAGAGCCTGTATAAGGTAAATATGCTTCTTTGGGATACCTTTCGATGACAAACATTGCCAGAGAACTTCACGATCACGCAGTCAAATTCCGCCTTCATTTGGCGGAATACAACCAATGTCGGATGTCGAACTCTATGTCCTTGTTCTTGGACATGTGGAAGTGTAAATATTTTGTCCGTACGTCTACGTCCAGGTCTGCGAGCCAGACTGGTTTTCTCGATTTTGCTTTTCACGAGCTCTAGTTAGTCTTTGAACTAGTATTGCAGCTATTGTTTTGGATTCTGTAATATTCAAACAAGTAAACGTTTTCCTTTCTTACAGACTGGGAAAAGTTCTCATTTAATCCGATTGCTAAAACTGGAACATCATCGTTTAAAATCCCCTCGTTAGTCTATCAGGACCTTCTGTTCTTCCTTTCTTTAAATTGCCTATAGCCTTTTCAACCTCATTAAGAGTCAGAGAACTTACATGACTTTACCATTCCGGTGGACTGGAGATGTTGGGTAAACGAAGTGTGGCCGAAGATCAGTTGAACTACTCTTTAAAGTGTTCTGCCCATCGATCCAATCTCGTGGATCGAGAATGAATAATATGCCCATCTTTTTCCGAGACAGTCTCGCTGACAGTCAGATTCCAATTACCGCTTTCCCTGATAGGTCTGAATAGTTGTTCATTATGACCGCCTAACCTTTTCCATCTTTTGCTTTCGCTTATCTACTTTAGTGGCAGGTATCGCTGCTGTTTCCACAGCTCTCTGAATATCATTCTAGGATGTTTCGGAGTTAGCATTACTTACATGGCTGCCTAACTGTTTTTATATTTGCTCCTGAAATATACTCGACTATTTTTATCGTTTAGTAGGACTCTAAGGGGTTTACTTCCTGTGCCTTTCTTACGCCCAGTAAGACGTAAACAAATACGTGCTCCCATGATCTGAATCTAAACATGTGTTCTAGAGTGAGCGGCAATCTTCTACTGAGTCTCTTCATCGGTATCTGATGTGGTCTAGTTGGGTCCAGTGTTGAGTCGAGTTTTATGTCTTTCCCAATGCTTGCAGTTGGTATTCGCGAGAAATATTCGATTATCTGAGCATAGCTGCAGCAGACGGTTGTCATTATCTGTTCCATGAGCCGCGACAACATAAGATGTACACAGGCTTCTTTCACTTTCGCTTAATCTACCTACTTGAGCCTTAAAATCACCAGCCACTATTATACCTCAGGGCGCTCTGCTTTTTGTACAAGGTTGTAAAGCTTTCCGTAAAATTTATCGTTTACCTCATCTGAGCTGTAATTGGTGGGAACATAGTTAAAGGCAACGAAAGGACAACCGTTTAGAACCACACAGAAGTTTCCGAGCATCTGAAATCTCAGCAGACGCTGCTGAAATTCACTGCCGCTGCAGATGCAGGTTGTCTGAGGAAAATACCTTACTTCTGTGATAACCATCTACAGTCAGCAGTACAACTTCGCCCTCAGAGCCTAAGTTGCTGCCGACGTTCTCTATTCGACCTCCCTGGGGTGGTAGGACTGGAGGAAACATACGTTGCAGCCAATATACCTCAGTTGGGTCATCATGATCAGCAAGCCCGACCAATATGTCACGGTAACAGCTACAGTCGGGTAAGTGGTACGGATTCATCTGAGTTCTGTCCACACTGAAAGACATTAAGCTCCTCAGAATATATATATATATATATATATATTCCACTTATGCTCCAGTTATAACATGGATAAGTTCACTAACGCTTCATGTAACATTCATATTTTTTGGGCAGCCGAATTCTGAAACCTGTACTAGGTTAATGAATTGTATTGGGTTATTATTTCTATTCCTATAAGTAGATTTGTTAAAGATATTGTCATTGTTTCCTTATTTCAGTACCACTCTCTGACTAAAGGATTCTCTACCGTTGTATTGAAATCTTTTTTCTCCGATTGAAAACTGTAACACAGCAATCTTCTGACGTATTACCTCTTTATTAAAATCTTGATTACTTGTTAAACTTAGATGAATTGCTTGGTGCATATAAAATGTTATTAACTAGTAATCAATCTCGTCATGTCTTGTAGTAGTTGTACAATATTCAAATTTTTTATTCTCACTCACAATATATTAAGCTATCGTCTTATCTTTTTTTAATCCTGTCTTTAATCTATGGCGGATATGGGATAATCAATTGACAAATAGTATGTAAGTACCTGTGTTGAATACATATTCCTTAATTATATATTTTTAAATTCTGTGCACTAGTCATTTAATAATGTTAGAGTATTTATTTATAAATTTGTTTTTATGCCGAACAGATTTACACCATTGTACATAAGTTTTCGCTTTAGATTTGAGAAATTTACATTTCTTTAAGTTGCTACTTCATTGTTTTAGTTCGCTATTCATTGCATCAGGTCTTCGAAAAGATCTGTGAAGTCAAATTAAATGATCGAAATTATGAACCTAATTCATATTCTTTATTTTGCCATAAAGCAAAATGTACGCTTGGCTTATACATTAGGTCCAGAACATTTTTTATTAGACTGGTTTAACTGATTAGAGCACTGTTGAGTTTGAGATGTGAGCCTATCGAACCAAGTAGTAAGATTTATTGGAAAAGTAAGAAAAAAAGCTAAAAAGAGCAACAAATTCAGAATAAATCAGTAGAAAAATCTGAAACGAAAAGTGGGTACGTAAAACATAAGTCACTTTGTCTTTCTCTTAGGCTCTCTGACGTCAAACGATTCTCTTGCATCCCTACGCAGCTTGAATCAACACTCCATTTTTCACTAATTAGTATCATGTGTTTGAGATGGTGGTGAAAACTTGTAGCTCAGGTGGTTTATATACGCTTCTGTCCTGAAGTAGCTCCTCGGCTTTCTTGATATATTCCTCCTTGTCCATGATTACTGTTGTGCGTCCTTTGTCCGCTGGAACTATGACTATATCTTTTCTGGTTTTGAGTTTCTTGTGTTTGTTCACTGAACACCAAGTTACTTTTACTTTATAGCAACCAACCTCAATCGATTGGTGCCTAATAAATAACCTGTAAAATTTTTTTCATTGCCAATTTAAAACTTTGTGAATATACATTTTCTAACCATGCGCAAAAGATATCTGAAAAACATTTGGTATGAAAAATACCTTACATCTGCTGCCCGTAGTACGTTATACGTATTAGTCATAGATTAAGCACATTGCACTTCTGCCATATACGCGTGACTTTTAATTTTTATGGTTAGATACCGGTCTGGTGCGACAAGCCTTCATTATTGTTATGTCTTAACTGAGTCTTCTACTACATATCTGGAGATTATTTCAGTAGAAATCAATAAACTAACTCACAAGTGAAATATTCAACTATGATGAACCATATTTAATTGACGTATGAGAAACTAATCTAATTTTTGTTTACTTTTTTACCGTCTACAGACTGCACTACATTATGCGGCCAAATATGGAGATTGTGCTGCAATCCGATTGTTACTTGGAAATTATCAAGTTCAAGTTGATGCTCAAACATGTGTAAGTTTTATGTATTATTGATGAAAATTTCATTTTATCATATGATAATTATCGTATGCAAACAATGTAGTCTCATTTGTTGAAGACACCGACAATGATTAACAATGCAAGCATGCTTGGGATGCGTTTCTCTCGCTCTAAATACATAATTTTGTCTCAAGACTGGTCTTTGTCAACACTTGAACTAATAATAGGGAGTGAAGTAGTTGAGCGCATTGACCATTACACCTATCTTCGAAAGACGACTAATTCTCAGTACCGATTCACAAAGCGTAATTAGTATTTAACCGCCTGAGACTCTTGTTTGTAATTGCGATCTCTGTTTTCGAATTCACTGTTGTGTATACTGAGCAGCAATCTGGTGTGTACTACTTCATGGTTGCAGAACATAGTCCATGAAAGTAAAAAACCTTGGTCATTGTATCATTTTTTTTTTAACTGTAATCCTAATGTTTAGCTTTTCTTGTTGTTATCGCCACTACATTATTTTGATCTGTTCTATTAAACATCTTGCCATTTCTCATCACGTAGTGTTAGTGTTGCATAGCAACTTCGAGTAAAATACGGCAAACAATAGAAAACACTAGTTAAAGACTTCAAAGTTACTTGTCTTCTTTGTATCTGCAATATTTTTATAATTTAGTATTTGTTGTAGAATTATTTATAAGTGAACATTGTATTTCATTAAACTGTCTTACACGACGGTCGAAATACATATAATGTACAGTATATACACATAATGCTAATAGAGATGATGTAGCAATTCACCCACCCCAGACCACGTACTTGAAAGCGACGTGTAACTTAACCAACTTTTATTGACACAACTATAATCATTGAGCTAAACATTTGAAGTCATACACTTTTTGTTTTATAAAATATCAGAATTGTGTTTTTCTTTTTTTCATTTTTCTTTCCATGTCACTACTTTCGTTTCCCACAGGAGGTGAGTATTTTTTAATGACCTGGTCTTGTTTATTTATGTGCTAAATGATTTCTAAAATGCAGAACCGTTTATAATATATTATTTTTAGTAGTTTCTTCTGGTTATATGCTTAGTAAATCTTATTCACAAACTCGATAAATGTATATGTCTTTGTCAGTGAATGAAAATAGTCAGATTTTATTTATTTATTTATTGTAGGGTATGACTCCTTTACATCTGGCAGCTGCCAATGGGAATGAAGATGCTATATTCTTACTAACTTCCATGTACAGTAAGTACAAATTATTATGAACAAGTGTGATTACCAATATAAGATGTAATCCATCCTTAGTGATAAAAGTAAGTTTATGCCTAATGTCGAATCTGAAGGTGTTAGCAAAACTAGAGGCAAGAATAAACTCAAACCTGGTGGAACTGATACACACACATTATAGTGAAGGAGGAATTTAACTATCTAAAACCTATGAGCTCTGAATAACCTCATTTATATGGATTACTTAAAAATCATAAATCAGACATCCTTTTCGGTCCAATTTTATCAGTGTATCGATCACTTACACAGAACCTGGATAAACGGTTGACGAAATTGTTAGATGCTTTTTGAAAGCGCTTATATAAGTATTCTCTGAAGGATTCTTTTGAGTTGGTCAATTGTTAAGGTGATATCAATATCAAGGAAAGTACATTGTGTTCATTTGACATGAGTTCTTCTTTCACAAATGTACCTTTAGAAAAAACGATTGATATTTTATGTGACTATTTTATATACTACCTTCTCCTCTAAAAATTCCTAAAGATTTAACTCTCCTAAACTATATCAGTCTCTTGTGTGAAGAGGAGAAAAGCAATCAACTTCCTTTTCTAGATATACCTATGAATAGACGCGAAGATGGATCAGTTAAACGATCCGTTTTTAGAAAGCTAACTTATACTGGTCAGTAACCTGGTTATCGTAGTTATTACCCAATTCAATATACACGGGATTCGATAAAGTAGCTATTTAGTAGGATTAAACGTATTTTTGCAAGTGATGCTTTTGAAAATGAAGTGAGTTTGCTGAAACAAGCGCTAATGGAAAATGGATACCCTTTAAAATTCATGAATCGACCTATTACATCTTTGGCGCAAAAAAGCCTTCTTATATCAGACTGCTATATCAGTCTGTTTAGAGGTGAAGTAAATAACAGCCTTATATTGAAAAAAAGGTTCAAATCTGTTACAAATAAAACTTACTACGCCGCAAATGTTATTATAAAGAAATAAAAAGGTTCATGTCTCATCTAAAACCTGGAATGCATATAAACGGTTGTATCACATTCCACTGCGTTTATCAATTTAAAATACTTAGGGAGGATTAACGGTGATTTGCAAATTAAGGTGTTTGACCATGTACCACCTATATGGCTAAAATCAAGATAGCAGGTTCTTCAGTAAACACCTTAACGTACGGACTTGGATTCATAGTCCTATTAAAAAGGACTCGAAGCAGTCGTTGATACTCCTTGACAAGTGATACTAAACATCAGTCATAAGCAACTTACAATTAAACAAAACAGATTAAACCTATGGTCCACATCACTTGAAAGACCACATAAGCTAATGTTGAGTTCTTTAAACAGCTGTATGAACAATGGTATAGACTAACCCATACAAGAAGCTGTATATGACAACTAACTCATGATTTGGACCAAATCAGCGACAACCTACCTGTAGAGTGGGTAACTAATCCAACGATGATAAAGCTTACAAACGTAAATGACTACGATCCGAAATTCATAAGAAAGTGAAGCCTAATAACTGTCAACGAATGTTTGCTATGACCAAAGAAATGAAAAAACAACAGAAATGTCCCTTAGAAGATCGCACAAAAGCATGCAAAACCATTGGATGGCTCAGTCGACTTATTAACTCTTGCTATTCTTAACTACCACAAACAACCAAACTCAACTTCACTAATCTCCAAGCCATCAATAAATAACACCCAACATCAGTGTCCGTATATCAAATGCAATAAAAGGCTACTTACTCAAAAAGGAATAGTAAATCACTGCTATGCGGTGCGTAGATAGTCGGCTACCACCGGATAGATAGATAGGGTCAAGGAAACAAAAAATTTAAAATTCGCGGAAACAGCCGTTGTGTTTCGACATTTATGCCGTGTTTAAAAGTATATCTCTTCTCCAGAAGAGCCAACCGGCTTCACCAACTAGTTTGGCCAGGAGGGGCACCTAAATGGCTGCAGAAACAAATAAAATCAAATGACCCAATATGAGATGATAAACATCTATCGTCTCCTGTCGCTAAACATATAGTCGCGACATCATAAGATTGATCTAAATTCAACTGTTTTGTATTGTATGAATGTGTTCAGGGACGTACACTAAGGTTTATTAAAGCCTTGGCCATACGAAAATTTAAACCTTAATATATTCAAAAACAGTTTGTTCTCACCTTGAACCGACTTTGCTTGGTAATATTGTGTTATTATCCAAAGTGGTGAGTTTGACGTTAGTTTTCTTTCTTAAACTTAGACTCCATTTTTCTAGTTGACCTTTTATTTTCGAATATGAATGTTCTTAATGTTCGAACTGTATTACGCTAATGTATTACATTTTTCTGCTAATCTTCGTTTTATTACACTGTCCGAATTTATCAGCGGGACTAATTATTTTAAATTTTAAATTGCTATACGTAGTATAATATTTCTTTTTTCTGATCTTATCATCAATACCTCTTTTTATTCTGAATGTAGTAATAAAACCATAATTTGAAGTTTATCTAAAAAATACATTAATCCTACCAGTTGCATAATGCTTTTGGTAGCTGAATGTGATCGCAGAGCAAAACAGATTATTATTTTGTCACACACTGACTCCCGGGGTGCGGTTTAAGGACTAGGTGTTAGCTGGATGTGCTTCATTCCAGTTAGGAGCTGAACAAGGAATTGATACCCGTGGGTTATGCGCTGTTGAGTTCCAAACTATTAAGGAACAGCCGTTCACTTTTGATTTCCTTCAGTTCTCTGCATGATGTCAATCTTATTTGGTCGATTATCCCGGAGATCATTTGCTACTGAGAGGCTATATGATATGTCGAATTCCAAATATGGGCTGGATTACTGTGATCAAGTGGTCTATTTACCTGTCAAATTTTTATACCCGTAGGTCTTTATCTGAATGAGTCTAACAGCTAACATATGCACACATTAATTAGGATTTCGGCGATAGCTACTCACACACTTTATCTTCTCACCTCGTGTAGTTGGTAAGCTAAGCGTTGAGAAGAGTGTATTACTGACGGGATTAGACCAAAGAACATAAACGTCTGTTACAAAAAATATCGTATGAAATTTAATGCTTTCAGCGTTGTAAGTGTACATTGGTTCTATATTCTCGTAAACATGTCTTAAATAAATACTTCATCCAACATTAATCTAAGAATAATAAATTTAACATCTTTTAAATTCAAATACGAACAATTAAGTGGAATAAAGACTTATTTTATACTATTTTACTTGATAAATGACAAGATTATTCACTTTGTTAACATCAAACCTAATTCAACTGATTTTTACATGAAGATATTTGTAATTTAATTTAGGGGCTTAAGTTATATAACCAATTTACAGAACAGTTCGTTCTCGTAATAATTCATTCGGTGGCTACAATTTTGTGTGGAGGAAACGATAACGTTTATATTGGTAATGTGTTTGTTTTCTTTTATTATTATCGTTAGAGATAGTATGGCATTCTAATTTGTTTTTATCTCAACGATAATTTGTCATTACACCTTACGTGAATCACTTCCAGGCGTTATATTGTACCAAAAAATCTATAATAAATAATCTATAATAATCTCAACCTGATCGTTCATTTGTTCTTATACAGAAGCTAGAACTGACATACGTGATTTTTGCGGACAGTTACCAAGCGCTTATTTACCTAAAGAAAAGGAGGTACTATCAAGTGAGTGTTCCTTCCTGTGCCATTACAAGAATGTTGCTCATTATTACCTTAGTCTATGAATTAAGATTTCACAGCTTCGAATTTTTTATTTTCATACCTGCAAAATGCAACGCGTGTTTCCAAATCAAACGTGTAAAATGCTCCGTTATGATAGACAAGTGTACATAAATAGAATGTGCAGGCGTCGAGAATTGTCTCATTAACATTAAGACTTGGTTAATTTATTAGTAATATGCACGACTATGACAATAAATCTCTGAAGAGTTCTTAAAGAATAGTCAGCCGGTGCAAACGAAGGATTATTTATTTTCCTGTTGAGAAATATACAAATATCAATAAAGTTTGTGAATTTTATTTTATCTTTTTGTGGAGAACATCTTTCCGTATCAAGACGGTATTCCGCATAGGGTCGGCTTAATTGATGTAGCTGATAAATAGTAGGTTATTACTTGGATTCAAAACACTTTGTAAGTTTGATGAATTTCGAAATAGATTATTCTTTGACTAACTATACACTTTCTAATTGTAAAATACGTCAAATATTATAACAATATAAATAGTGGTTCTCTATTTGTTGCTACAAATCAGTTCTCATTTCTTTCTGATTTGATATTCTAAATTTTTGTAATTATGGAACTAGTGTGAACTGAAGTATGATTCCATATTCTAACAAATGAATGAATCTACTGTTTAACTCCCTACATTACACTAAGGCTAACCCGTTCGTGCGACGGTCATAATAAGAAGCCAAATACCTACTTAGTTATACTACTTTATGTCATGCAATCATTCAAGCAGACAAGCATCAAGACATGAAGCAGAAAAACGAAGCGGAGAAGGCAAGCGCGCTAACTCCATTTGATAAATCGTTGATCACTATTTATGATCAGACGTAAATATACTAGGGAAATGTGTTAAATAGATTAAGTGGTGCACATACACACTGTCAGAGTTTCAAGTGAATAATGGACAAGGTCAGAACATATGTGGACAAAAACTTGATCAGAATCAATTACTTGTCAGTCCGAAAGCTAGAATAACGCATATAATCGTGACATAATACTAGGCACTACAAGCCATGCTCTCTTAATTTTTTAATATGTTTGTAATACCTGATATCTTACCGTTCATTCAGTGTGTCACTGCTGCTAATAGCAGTGCACTTCTACTGGGGACTTCACCTCAACCATCTACATGTGTCGTTTATGAACACTTTCATTTATCAAATTTCAACTTACCAGATAAAAAAGGCAAGCAAATTAGAATCTTCAGCAACAGTCGTGCTCCGAATGAATGGAAAATCGAACATGGAAAAGCAGATGTGCTAATACGTATCCTACTCCGTAGAACTGTGTTGAATTATAATTATAGATTACAATCTAACAATTTATCGTAATTTACCTTAAACCATACTTATGTTTAGTTTTTAATATCCTTTTTGTTTAACTTAACGACTAATGTGTTTGATGTTGCTAGAATATTGAAAAACACGATTTGTAAGTTGATCGAGAGACATTGTGAAGCATGTGTGCATGAACGACACTTGTTATTAGTTGAATTATGTATATATACTCAGTGTTATTCAATAGTTTTCAAAGTAACCTGGTTATAAACAATAAGAGACGTATCATTTACAATAGCTACACACTTTTAATGTTGTAAAATCTGAAATTTTTCGTGCATAGCTTTTATATTTCACGTAAAGATTAGGCTGTTAGTTGAGTCATTATCTAAAAAATATATGTTCAGAGACTCTAACCAAATATCTGAGTTACACCTAAAATTCAAAGCTCAATATTTACATGTATGTTAGTATTTTTGATAGTAAAATGTACAGTTACTTCAAATTGTGTGGTGTGTGCTACTCATAACATGGTTTAAAAATATTATGCAGTGGGTATGCAACGAAGTGTTGCCTATAAGTTACTGTGAAGCAGTGTCGGACCCTGATGTATGGCGCGAGCAGAGGGTTTTAAAAACTTGAATACATGTGGACTAAGACAGCCGAAAATCTGCTAGTTTCGCAAATTGACCCAAACGTAGATACTATCTTGACGCTCTGGTCGAGGTTACTTATCGTGATGGTTCAAACGAGCTATATTGGAACATATTCCTTTAGTTCCTATCGTGCCAGGCAAGTTGATTGGAGAACGGCATGATTAAAAGTAGCAACTTAATGTCTGGGAGCGAATTCGTACTGCTGACTGTAGAGGGGTGTGACAGCAATAAGGTGTTTCCTTTGGACAACCAGCATTTGCAGCGAAGCTGCCTTCTCACGAGGAAGGAAGGGTTAGAAAAGGTCGACCTAAAAAATGTCATATTTCACCTCATCCTGTGGATTTCTGTCTCCGGCGATAAGGCCTTTCAAAGAGCGAAGCTGACATTTTGAAAATTGTCACACTCGTCACTAGTTATGCTTAAACTATTACGAGTTCACCTTAGTCGATAAACGAGAAGGAGAAAATGAATCAGTGACACGTTATGCTACTGTGATCGGTTGCCCCAAAGGAAAAAACGAAGAAGTTTTGACATAGCGTAGAAAGTTTATTCTACAAACACCCAGCAAACAAAATGATCTCAAGCACGTACCATAGAGACGTCCTTGGGAGAGTCACAAAATAGCACACTAAAATGACACAGTAACCAAACACAGCCACGGATTTTCCTGGAGGGAAATGTCATCTCAAGGTCAACTGGTCAGTCCATGAATAAAATCCAAATTAAGACATTTATCAAGCGAGTTATGGGGATCTAACATCTCCAACAAAATCCTCCCATGAACGGCTTCAAGTGGTTGTCCCTTGGACTCTGGTCGCTAAGACCAACACTAATCGAACTCGATAGATTGGAAGAAAGCTAGGGGCCGCCAAGCCCAAAACATGGCAGAAATGCATGAAGTTACTAGCAAGTGAACTAAGTCATGTTTGTAGGTGTCGAATACCTGGTTGGGGCCCCCGAGGTGATAGTAATCAATGGTTAGAGACCCTAACTTAAAATCGTTTGCAATGGCGCAGGTGGATTCATTGTTTGTATTAGCTCAAATCGTAATCTTCTGAATTCCCCATTACCCTTATCTTTTTAGTTTATTCAACTAGATTCTACTTCTGGAGCAACATCGCCGAACCCTAAAATTCCCAATTACTGCTAACACCTTGTACTACCTCTACTACTATGGGATTTGGAGTAGTAATTGCATCTCTGGGCTAATGTGGTATGGCAACTTGAACTGATATACATACGTACGAAGTTCTTTGTTGTTTTTGACTGTCTAATCAAATTCCCTTTCCAGATTCCTCTAGAAATACCCTTTCGTGGTATGGGCAACCGGGAAGTGACATCCGCCCACATACCATTAACAGTACACGAGATCAACTTAGGCTCAAATTCTTTCCAAATTGAAGTTTGAAGATAAGTTGTACACATTCAGCCAGTAAACTGTCTTCTTCAACAAAACCACTTATTTTACTTGATCCTACTGTCTTTGTTCATTACACTGGTTCCGATCTACGGTGGGTTAATAGATGCGTACTGCTGGGTCTCATATTAGAATGAAACAGCTGTCCGACGTTTCTTAATTTTCAGTGATAACCTAAATAAATTGCGTTCCAAATATGGACAAATTTTCATAAGGGTAGTGCCTCAAAATAACTGAATGAAAAAATAAGGAACATTAAAAGTAGGAAATCAGCAAAAACATCAAAATGACCGGGTAGATATTGAGTGCCAGTATGTCAGTATAGAAACTATTAGATATATCTAGTACTTCTGAATGATATTGCTTGATATAGGATAGCAGAAAAATACAGGAAACGGATCTAACTTTATTACATACTTAAAACCTGCCGTGTATTTGACACGAAAAACTAAATATGGTACTTTATAATAGCAGTAATAAGCTACATCACGTAGCTTGATCGATACCATTAGTGAGTACAAATCTACCTATCGTATTATGTAAACTTACCAGTCTATTATAACCGGTAAAAGTAAGTTTGACGAGTGTAATACGCAGCAGTTCGCTCTGTCCTACTATATGGGTGCGAAACATGGCCGGTAAGAGTGGAGGATATTTGTAGGTTATTAGTATTTGATTATTGATGTCTTCGGAGCGTTCTTCGTGTATCCTGGGACAACCGAGTAAACAATGTTGTCGTTACGAAACGAGTCCAAAGTAGGGATGGCAGAGCAATGGATGAAGTATTGAGACTTCATCAGTTGATGTGGTTGGGACATGTATGCCTAACCACCAACTGCCGCGACGAGCTATGTTTTGTGGTGTAGGAGTAGGTTGGAAGAAAGCTTAAGGCGGCCATAGCAAAACATGGCAGAAATACATGAAGTTACTTGCAAGTGGACTGAGTCATGTCGGTTAGTGTAGACTAACAGGTTGGGGTCTACGAGACGATAGCAACCGATGGTTAGAGACCTTGAATGACATGGCTCAAAATCGTTTGCTATGGCGCAGGTGCATCCTCTCTTTGTTTCTTCTCAAATTTCAATCTTCTGAGTTCCTCATCACCTCTACCTTTCTCTCTCTGAATTATAATTGAATAATATCTTCGAACCCTAATCTTCTCCTTTATAGCTAGTAATTCTACTATCGCTACCACTATTGGATTTGAACTGACATTTGCTTCTCTGTGCTAATGTAGTTATAGGAACCTGATTTTATGTACTGATGTACGAAATTCTACATTGTAACTAACTGACTGACATACGTAAGTTTGAAACTGAAATCACTTATGTCGATGTGTTTCATGAGTAGTTGCTCGTTATTGAAAATCAGTTTTATTGAGACAGTATTTGAATACATTCGATCTTCGATTAACAATTTAGTTATTCCTAACTAACAAGATTGTTATTGATTCTAAAGTAATCTATATTTTAGGCAAGATTAGTATTGCCAATTTAACTGGTGTTTGTCTTTAGTTGTTTGTTTCATATATGTTATCAGTTATTATCGTATGTAATTGCATGTTCGCACTTGGTGTTTTTTGTACGAAGCTATGGTTCTGTTTGGTTTAAGAGTATAAGCTGTGTTAAGTATGATAGTGTTACATATTTTCACTTCGGTTTGCGTAGCCTTCATGTACTTAGTTTTTTTTCATATATTTATGGTCTTCTTTTTAGGGATAAGCACATGTACCTATACTTTTATGTTGAATTGAATTAATATATATTTAATTGTTGTGTATTTTAAAGTGATATATATTATAGAACCTAATATATAGTAATTTTAACTCCCCGCTATATTTAGAATACTTTCCAAATCCTCTGCGCGAATTATTGCGAAATTCTGATAATCGTAAGTGGTAATTCGTTGTTTTCTTTTGTCGGGTTTGAGTGTGCACTTGAAAAATATATGTAGTCGTGTGCGTTTTACTCAGAATATTTTTAAGAAACCGAGAAATTGCACACTTTCCCATAACATTAGGAGAAATTTTCGATTCTGTACTTTGCTTGTTATCAGCTCTTTTATCTGACGCTTTACGCAAGCAGGAATATTTTAAAAATAAGATAGATGTTTTCCAGCTTATTCAGGACACGGTAAATTTCACACCAGGTTAACTCAGATCTTGCTAAAGCCTCCAAATGCCCTGGTACGACCGACAGTGTGAAAAGTCCAGTCTCCCTCGCGAGCACCCAAATGGTAGCACGTGTATAGCCAACCGTCGGGAAGGCCTAACTCACGGCCTTCACGTGAAGATGTTTACGAAATTGAGAGGACGAAAAGCTAGTATCTGACGCTCTAATAGGGTTGATAGGTTCTCCTTGGTGAGTTGAGGAACATTGATTTTGAGGCAGTGGCTAATACAGGATCCCAACAGAGCGAATGGCATATGGACTTATTGCTAGTCACTGGCTAACATGGGACCGCATCTCCTTCCGTTGCTCTACTGCCTTGTGGACTAAATTTTCGGGTCAAAGGCCTTGAGAGTAGCCCCTTAAGCAAACCACTTTCTTTTGCATCCTTGCAATATTCCAACCCACACACAAATTCCTTAATTTGTGTTGCGCATATATATGTAGGTACCCCATTTATACCAATGTTTATGTATTTAAATAATAAAAATATTTTTCATCTAAACAACCAGTGATGGAAATTTGTAACTCTTTTCAAAGGAACTACAGGTGCAAATAAATAATGATTGTTTTTATAAATTACTGTACTATGAAGATTTTTTAAATTAATTGGTGTTCTAAGCAGCTTAAATCATATCAGTTTTGGTAAATCTGGGAACAGTTTGACCTTTATTATAGTGAAATTTTAGGTTTATCCTAACATTTACATAATTGTATACGCAATAGGTATTTAGCGGGTTTTCAATTCGTCCGCCAATAGACTTCTCGACAACTTACAGAGAATAGTTCTATAGAGAATGCAAACTGCCTACATATTTTATCTCAAACCGCCGGTTTTTAGAGGACTTTGTCGACAAGTGTTTTAAGCTATGTATATACACAGTACACAATGTTGGTATTTGTAAATCTCATTTTCGCGTTACAATTCTGTTTTTCTTGAAATTACGACAAAAGTCTTTGGAGATACTATATAGCATGTTTGATGCAGTTAATAATAAATATAATTACTATTTTAAGAATGTAACTTTTATTATCTAATTCATCTCACTTTCAGATTTACATTTGTTGGTAAACCAACCAGAAACCAACCAATTCTCCTCTGATCCTGTTTCAAATGATGATAATAATAGTAACAATGAGTGTAGTAGCGATTGTGGATTAGTGAATAATTTTAATCCACTACATTCTACACCAATTAATTCTCATTTTCCATGGAGTCAGCCTAATCAAAACGCTGAAGAACCGCAACGACAAATGTATGTTTCACGAGGTCTGGGTTCAGTTCGCAGCGAGAAACGTGATTCTTCGAAAGAAAGGTATAGAATACACAAGACCCTACCATCTGCAGTAGCCAATAAAATAATTTGCTTCCCATTAGTAGACTTTAAAGTATTAAACACAGGTTCGAGACTTCCTGCAGTCAAACTAAAATTTGATAGTCCCAAAACAATCTTCCATTTGAATTTTCGATATGATGATGTTAAACTCATCCAAAATGTTTATACACATATTCGTCAGAGGCGTAAAAACGCTTCATTTTGTTATAATCCCTGCAATCCTGAGATCACTAAATCATCGGAACTGAATGTAAGCCATGAGATATTTTTGTATGTAGTAAATATTTAAACTTGTAACTCTAACCTATTTTATTGAAGCATTTACCTATTCTGAGTAAATGTGGATCAGCAGTCACAAATCCGCAGTTGCATTTTAGCAATCAGCGAAATTTCGAGTTAACATCCAGAGAGTTTTTCAAATATGGGGAAAATCAATTATGGTTTGTCAACATTTCACCTCGTTCAGTTACTTTCGTCTCTATCTACCTATATTTATGATTCTGGCAATGTATACGTCAGGTGAATCTATATTAAAGTAACCAAACTTTTTAAAAAAGCCATAACTAAATCCTCGTTTCTAATGTCTCTTAACAAAAAACGACAGTAATATAACGAAAAAAATAGAAGCAAAATACATATCCCAAAATTTTCACGTAAAAAGGAGTAAAATTTTGATGCAGACTGAGCGCTAAAAATCGAATAAACAAATCACTGATTTTGCTAGTTTTTGCAGAATGTATATCTGTATAGCTTATATTTTCCCGTGGAAAGCTGTAGGTGAATTACATCTACAAGACTAACTAGACGATTTGTCACTATTTAAGCGTCGTAAGTGATGCTGGTGGTCGAGACTGATAAATATGCTTTTTCTCCTGCGGTATATTATACATATCAGATCTTAATCCAACAAATTAGCTTTTCGAGTTTACGGACCATTGAGCCTGCTTCCATAAACTCATCAACTTAGTGATTACAATTATCGCCGAAAGACGATTCTTCAAATCTGTGTCGTACATTGCATTATTGTTTGGTACTACAATATACTGATATCCGTATACAAAATCTCTATTCATGTAGTAAATTGTGTCGTAGTTGTATGAAAGTTACTAATTATCAATTTGGAGGGATAACTTATCCGAAAATACGTCACATATCAGGTTTGTGTTCTCATTGATCACATACGTCTTGGATGTCGTAGAGTAACTATTTTACCAGCAGTAACCTACGTGATAGCGCTTAGCCAAGCAAGATTCCTAATGACTTTGAGTCCAGTTATCAAAAGTTAATTGGTTGTAGGCTTTGATGCATTATGTCTGTACACAAATATCGTTAAATGAATAACAATTGTAGTTAAACGATTATTTCGTCTCTGTATATGGACTTTTTTTGTAGGCTTCATAACTCTTAGTCCTTGCTAATCAAATGTGTTGAAACAATTTTATAGTCCATGCCACACGGAAAATTCTTTCTTGACTTTTGTACTGTTAGATAAAAAATAATACTGGGCGTCTAGGACCATCAAATTTACGTTCAACTATTGGTCGACAGTTAAAGCGCCACGTACATAATACTCAGGGAGAGATGTTGGTGACAGAAAACAATGCACATAATAAACCTTTAAACAGTAATGGTGATAGTGATGAAGGTGATGAATTTACTGAGTCACCAACTCCAACAAATGAATTATAAAGAGGAACAGAAAATACAAGAAATGTTTTTTGTTTTATTTTTTACTTGGATTCCAATCATTTTCATTTTTTCCTCTTGCTTAGCACTTTTGCCGCAGACTGATAATATTTTCATGTAACTCTTTTTTTAAGAAATTTTTGAAAACGGAATTATAAACAATCATAATATAAATGTATTATGTGCCAAAAATTATAATCTGTGATTTAAATGCGTTTATTTTGGTTAAGAATGAATGATCTATATGGGTTACTTTTCTGACTGGCTGACTTCTTCCTTTTTTATTTCACCACTGTTCTTGTACAAAAGATCATGAATTGTCTTTATTCGAACGCTTGAGAAATTGCATCATTATACTTGAGCTACCATGAGATTTAGCGATTATCCTGTAAAATAAAAACAATTCACTTCCTTAGTGGTTTACAGTTTAGAGTCGCCTATCTGATGGAAAAAAATCACATGAACTAATTGAAAAAGAAAATGATGTTTTCTTTACAAATTAAACGATTTGTGGTGAATACGACAATAGTAGTTAGAATATTGCAATGATAGTTGTTTTCCTCCATTTTATTTACTAAAGCATCAGTTGCATTTCTACAACTACAAAGCAATTTCAAAAGGGCTCTAAGCTGAAACAAATCGAAAATATATGTGGTAAATATATATAAATACAAGAACATATGTTCCAGCCAATATAGCTCGGTTGGGTCACTACAATAGGCAAGCCTTACCACCTCGTCGAGGTAGGAACTATGGTCAGGATAAAATAACTATACTATACTCTTGATTTATGACGATCTCGGACCTAAACACTACGGATCATGCAATATACATTTTATTTTGGCTTAGTGTTTTGAACCTGCATGCAGATACAGAATTTATAATTGAGTTTCATGTTATATTTCTAAGCGGCATTTCAGCTTAACCATGCACTTCATGGAAATTATTATAGGACGATCAGAAAGCACGACAGTGAACTCTTAAAGTGTAGGAAAATTTTTATTAGAAATGACTTTTATGCTTTTTCCTGGGAGAAAAGTTAAAAGTAACAGAAGTGCAAATCGACTAAAATTCTTCACAATAATTGCGGACGAGAATAGACTCGGAGAGATTCTTGGATGTCATCATCAAAATGAGTTATTTGTCAGCTGCAAACAAAAGTAAGATCACTTGTTCCAAAAGGAAATATATTCAAAAGCAGTAAAATAACTTACGGATAATGCTACACTGAAACAAAAATGTATAATAATAAATTATATGCTAATCATTAGTTTTTAACCTAATATTGTCACATGTAGAGGAGTAAAAATTAGACAAACACTAGTATTACTACTCACTTGCATTCTTCTTCTTCGCTTATCGGTTTAATACAATTAGGCTCGTTATATGTGGAATTATTGACCTGAGATGAGACGGGATATTTAATAATAGATACATTATCCAAATTGTGCGCAAGATCTGTGAGGAATCCATATGCCTGAAATTATAGTTAATCACGAAATAGATTTTTGCCACGGAATAGGAAGATGTAAGAACTTATGGGTTTTTCATCAGAGTTGATACTTGAATTTTCTTCTATACAAGCATTGTTTCCCGTAAATGTTATCCTATCTTCATATTCAAAGCACAGAAACCATGACGATCTTGATAGTATATGATTCACGATCTATGTAACAAGCCTCTTAAGAGGAATGAAATTTTACGACTCCGTAAATCCATGCTAATCGAAACAGAACTAAGTGCTAACTCTTTATTTACGAATTAGCTACACAGCATAACAATACCGAAAACTGAGGATCACTGGGTAAGAGTATCATCCTTCTTAACCATCATACAGAGTTTTGTGTAGAAGATAAGTATGTAGAACATTTAACGTGAACAACGTATATACTGAATCATTCATTAATTCGAATAATTTGTTGATACTATTTCAAAACGTCGGTGCGCATTATTGAAGAGTATCAAGTCAGAATTAGAGAGCTAATTAGTCTTCAGAAATTCTCTAATTGATACCGTTAAATGATTATTATTATTATCATTATTGTTATGATCGATAATAAACTAAACGAAATGTAATGTCACTGTTTCAGTCGATAGCGGTTTATAAGCTTGTTGACAATTTTGGTAATCAATATGGGTTCAACTTTATTCAGCAGTTTAAAAATAACAGAGTGTTACTCAAACACCCAACAACTAAGATACTAAGTGATAATCGTAACAGTAATAGCTTTATTAAGCATGTCTAACGAGTGAAGCGTTATGATTAGTTCCAATGAAAGAAAACCATATGTTAGAACTAATGCAAAGTTGCATTACATACCGTACGAGAATAAAATAGTCAAGTGGTTAAAGATTTTGATTACGAATACTTCAAATCTTTCTGCAGCTACCAGTTCTGATTTCCTCTAAAACGAATTACTTAATTGGTCGGTCGTATTCAGTGGTGTACTAATAAATTTTCCTACAATTAATTTTATTGGCACAATACATGGAGCTGAGCTTGAATTAACTCAAAACACTGAATATTCGGCACCCGTTTTCATTGAATCCAGTAGCTGTAGCTACTAACGAAAAGCAAAGTAACAAGTTATTTTGGATACGATGCGTAATATTTTGTTTTCAGCCATTAAAATTCAAGCGTTCTGAGAAAATACTACGTTCAAAATCTGTTTTATGCTTTGATTATAAATTATGTAATTGAAAGTCAAAAAGCGTTTATATTATTTAGACCACTGTTCACGAATACCATTTTTAATGTTTCTTAAACTTCGATTACTAACATTAGATTGCGATTCAGAGGTAGTTAACATTTGTAATCAAAATCGTTCAAATAATCTTTATAATATAACTGATCTTATAAATTTAGCTTCCTAAAGAGCATCGTTTCGTCTACACAACAATATGAACAACAAAAGTTACGGTCACTATTGTGTTCATTTAAAAAATAAATGTGAAGACTAAAGCATAGAGAAGCCCAGAATTTTTGTTGAACAATACCTGTTTGTAATCAGATTCAGCTGGATTTAGCCACTCATAAACGTCATCGTCATTATCCATAATAATCTTTAATCAGAAGACAAATTAGTTAATCATTAAGTAGTACAAAACATACAGGCATTCTTGTATGCACATCTGCCATGATACCCTTTGAACTTGTGGTTACTATGGTGTATGAATAAATCTACGTAAAAAAACAAATGAAACACATCAGATGATTACCTGTTTCTCAAAATTATAAGCGAATAATCCTGCCATCATAAGTAACTTTTCAGGATCTTCAAGTATGATTAGAAGCCTTAGAAGTAATAGTAGAATTACCTGCAGGGCAAAAATAAAACGGTTGTTTTTTCTTGACTCCAACTTTCCATTCATAAAATCTAAAGTGAATTAATAGTTCCACTTAATAGGCGTTAAATTTAGATAGGACACAGAAGTAGGTGGTTGAAACAATCGAATACAACATGAACACCTATTACTTACAAATAAAAAGCTACGTTTTCCATGAATATGAACACTTTAAAATGTGAACGAAGTTCCGTTCACACAATCATTTATAGGTGGTTTCAAGTTATGTAAACTGTTAAAGGGTAGTATCTAGTACAATGTTATATTTACATCAGTCAGTCAACTGCAACGTAGAACTTCGTACGTACGTGCATCAGTTCAAGTTGCCATACCAGATGAGCATACGGATGGAATTGTCAATCCAATATCAATAGTGGTAGATGTAGTAATGGAGAACATCAGGGTTCGAAGAAATTATTCAGGAAGTATAATTCAGTGAAATAAATTTACTGAGTGACAGATAAAAAAGAGGTCAAGTTTACCTACTAATCATTATTAGCCATATCGTTTGGATTAACCGATTGTGTAGGGCTTCAGCTGTTAGTCTTTCTTTGCGTGAACCAGACTTCAGGGACTCTTTTGCCCCTGAAATTAATTACATGACCAGATTCTGTTGAGTGAAATTCTATCATTGACTTATTTTCTAGCTTTTTACATCTGAGAATTTAGAGATGCGCTTTAAGCAAAGATTGTGTTCCTCTTTTGGTATTGAGTAATTGATTATTATCAATTTACAGCCTAGAGTATTGTTAACTGGACCAACTACTCTTACACAGATGATTTGAGATCCTTCTGACTACTCCGATTCCTCTACCATATGGGATCACGATCATGTTAACCAATTCTTTTTGTATTTTTCTGTCATCTTCGAATTCTAGTTTAATTGTTCCATTTGTGAATTCCTAAGAATATTCATCATCAAACTGGATATAAATAAATTCATTTTAGTTTCTTTGTTATTTGGTTCAATGACTATGAACTATATCAAATTCTTAACAACCATCACTTTTGTGGAATGGGAATGAACTTATCTATAACCCACCTATCATTCAAAGAATGTTAGATTTTGAATTAAATAATTTTCAAAAAATCATTACTTTTCGTTTCAATGAACGTCCAGAAACCTCAATTTATGGTCAGCAGATTTCAAATCCTGCGTGTATTAGATTTTTTCAGATAAGATGTTGACATTATCGAAGAGTTCATTCGGTCCATTTCGTCTTGTGAAACAGTCACTCATTTACAACGTAGAATTTTGTACGTAAGTAAAGAAGTTCAGGCTGCCATACCACATTAGCACAGAGACGCAATTGTCAGCTCAAATCCCATAGTAGCACAGGTAGAAGTACTATCCATAAAGAAAAAGATCAGAGATCAAAGATTTGATTTGAAAAGTATATCCTAGGGAAATTAATTTAAAACATTATGAGAAATTCAGATTAGTTTATCAGAGAACACAAAGAGTGGATGCGCCTACGCCATTGCAACGATTTTTAGTCATGTCATTCGTCTCATAGACCCCAACCTGTTAGTCTACACTAACCGACATGACTCAGTCCACTTGCCATGCCTTTAGGTTTCTTCCAACCTACTGTTTTATATCGCTGCAGATTTCTTACGATTCAATCTCCTGGACTGAGAATGAATCATAAGTCTATCCTTTTCTGAGATAGTTTCACGAACAGATATTTCTAATACCGGTTTTCTTGATAAGTAGGAACAACATCCTACTGTTACCTATTGCCGCTGCCTTTTCCACCGCTCATGCTTTCGCTACCTACCGCCGTTCGCGATCATTGGGTAGGCTTATTATCAGCCTGAGCCTAAGCTGATTTCGTTCTTTGTCAGCGCCCGGTCAAGAGATGTTTTTTCTTATGATCAAAGTTATTACTTGGTAGATATAGGCGCTTATCTGAGCGTAGTGGCAACAGACGGTTGCCATTATCTGTTCAATTAGCCGCGACACCATAAGATCAACTGAGGCGTCTTTCCTTTTCACTCAGTCTATCCACTTGAGCATTTAAGTCACCAGCCATCATTATTATATCAGAGAGCCTAATTTTTGGAGGAGGTTTGAAAGCTTTCTGTAACACTCATCTTTAACCTCGTCTGAACTACAGTCAGTGGGGGCACAGGCAGATACGACGAAGAGACAACGATGGGTGTCCCTATCTTTGCAAGTCCTTACTGTCCAGTTTAGTCGGACAGCGCACAAGCGACTTTATACTGGGATACAGTCAAGTCTAGCATCCCATCGATGTCTGAGATTATTAAATATTAGTGTTTTGGTTATTCTTCAAACTATTCACGAAACTTTGGCTACATGGTTCATATTTAACTCCGTCAATAGCATATCTTAATTACAGTTTATTGTACCAAATACTAAGTAGTTACAATCTGACTTTTTAGGTTAATCAGTTTTGATGAAAGACATAACGAAATTGGACTTACCCTTGAACTACAACTACACATCGTTTGCCTTCTTGTAACGAGCACTTATAAGAACGTTTATCTAATAATGATTCAATACGAGCATTGAAGGTGTGAAAAGTGGAATTCGTGTCCCCGTGAATAAATGCAGGAATCAATCCCCAACGCATCACCTGAAGTGAGTGGCCATGGTCGTCTACATCAATGAACCGGCTGGAAACTAGCACTGGTCTGAACAAAATACCAAGAAGGAAAAACTAATATTATTGTGGGAACGATTTTCAGGTACGTATACAAGCTAACTTAATGTAGTGTTCTGATCTCCCAACTTTCGGGAAATTCTGAGAAAATTGCAGGACAATTTGGGGTTTTCGAACTTTCAGCGAAGATTTTAGGGTTTTTGATTGCATTTCCTCAAAGGTTAATAAAAGGGGTTTCCTTAAAATGTTCCTCAAAGTTGATAAGTTGAGTAAAACGTAATAAATAATTTAGATAACAGTAGGTTCGTAAGAACAAGATATGATAAAACCAAAACCATAGAATATTTATTTTAAGAATGTAATGCGGAGGACAAACATACGTGAATGACCCTGGAGATATATTATAAGATGGATTATACTTTTGGCCACCAGGAGCATTGTGCCAGCTAGGTTGTCCTATCTCTTTGCCGTTACGAAGACAAAGTTGGCATTTGGCACATATCGTGCTCGGCTCCAAGGCACTAAATGTAACAGAAACTAAACTAAATATTACCAGGCCGTTCTTCCACACATTTATTCAACCTTGAAAAATTTGATATTGTTTCAAGGTGAATTTTCACTGGCCAATGTTTCATGATTCATTTCATCGCTGGTTGAAATCATTGTTCAAAGGCGGCACTTTCAAGGTTAGTCGACTTTTTGCCTCTACGGATTTTTGGTGAGTTCATGCAATTTTTATGGTTTGGCCTTATTTCGTCTATGAAACATTTTTATGTTCATCCTAATGTCTGCTAACAGTCAACTGTATCTAACATCATATAATATATACTTAGTAAGACCTCAAGTAAATTCACAAGGAAACATTTCATAAGAACATCGGTGAATAATAATAAAACGCGCAAAAGAATTTCTTTTTGACTTCCATCCAAAGAACAGTTTGATACTTCCCTTTTTTCATTGCTGTTTATAAAGAATGTTGCCGAATTTCTTACTCTTCCAACAGTACACATATACTCTTAGTCTAATATGTTAGTGTTTGTTTCCATCGTCAAACAAACTACTTGATCTCAAAAACCATAGGCAGGTACGTACATTCACAAACATAGAACAAATCACGATACAAATTTCAGCAGTCAATTACAAAGATCTTCGGTAGAAAATTGCAGGTAACTCGTTATGTACTAAAAATATGTCCTGATTAGTTACTTTTAAATAGGACAAACATTCATTAAACGTTTAGTATAATTGCAAGAAATTAAATTCATAGTCTGAAGCTTTATTGAAAAAAATTTAAAACGAAAAGTTCCCAAAAATGGTGGCTCCTCGAAGCTTGGGTGTATCAATAAGATTTTCTTCCTAATGCTGAAGTTAAAGAAAAGTACTGTTAATACAATGTCTGACGGCCACGTTTCCTTGAAAAACTGCCAGCGTAAATTGGGACTTATAATGTTCGTCTACACTAAACCGTCGACCTATTAAATAGCAATATTATTATATCTTATTACTGTTCACATTATTGGGTACTTTCTACGACTCTTTTGTACTTCTCGTATGTTTGGGAAATACCGTCGTCGCATTTTATCCTATCTTTGGTTTTATGTCAACCTATGACTACCAAGGGCTTTTATTACTGCCTTATATCGACGAACTGATTCACTCTCATTAAATTCATCGTATAACACAATGCAGGCAGTTAATAATAAATAAAGAAAACTCAGAGAGTACATGACTTCATTGCATGGTGTGACATATTAAAGATTCATAATCCCAACAAAATATTAGTGTTTTCTAACGTTGAGGTGCTCAATCCGATTAATTTCAATGGACAAGAACATACGACCCAGCCGATATAGCTCGGTTGGGTCATCGCGATAGGTGTCGTTTAAGATACAAACATCTATTTATGATAGTAGCAGTGATTTTTGATTTTGTGCAGCTAATCAGGTCATTTAACTTAGGTGTAACAGTCTGCCGTGATAGGTTTCTAGTAACCTGATTCTAATTTTAGGTGACTTGGTTGATGATCATTACTTCACAGTATTTACAAATACATATTACTTACTGTGTCCTAGGACAGCGTCCATGTAGAGTACGTAAAATTTTTCCTTATTCTGATGATTGAAATCTACTCATAGCCGCACATGTTCTTTTTAAAATACTTTCTGGCGATGAAATGAAGTCAAAATATTCACTTTGTTTCTTTGAAAGACAAATCTAGTTCCTACTTATTCCAACTAGTCAGTCGGTTACGTGTATTTCAGACATTCAGACCAAATCTACTCTTTTACACCGTTTTTGCTTAAAGCTTAGATAATGCGTTGACTGTGAGATCGTACCTTCATAATTCTTATTCAGTGTATGCGGGTGGCTTACTGTCGCTGCCGACACGGCATTGTAGGTTCAAACTTTGCTGCACCAACTTGTATCCAGGATATATTAATAAAGTTAGGTCATGTAAAAAATTATTACTCAAAACCGAGTACATGAATAATAAGTTGCTTATCAGCGAGATGAAGCTATGAACTTTTTGTACAAACTGAAATCAGTATTTAGCATGATAAAATAATCCTCTTACATGAACTTCAGAAATACATTTCTCAAGATCATTTATTCAAGGCTTACCGTAAGCTTTAAAATCTTCCGTTGCAGATAATTTTCAGAGGCCATTGGACATTTATGTACCAGGGTGGTAATAGCATCGCAAAGCATTCATTATCGACGTGCGATTTCCGGTAAAGAAAAACCTTGAAGTATTATACGGGTTAAAAGAAGATTTAATAAATTTTTATTTATTCAGTATAACCTATAATTGGCTCTATTTAGGTTTTTGCCATGTTTAATCTATAGAGTGAACATGAAGTCCAATAGAATGGCTAAATTCAAATGTAGTTATGTTAACTGACGTCATGATACGGTTAAAAAAACAATTGTACGTCATACTTTTTTTCATAACATTAGGTCCCTTGGCTCCACTACATTGTTAGCTAGATATTCTTGACCTTAACTATAGGACGTCGTACAATTATTGCATTTATCTATTGTTTCGCCAATGCGTTTCATTTTTATACACCATCTGTACTGTCCGTAATGGTTTTCCCGTTCAACCAAAATGCATAGGTTTTCCGTTCCCATAGTCTTCTGTATGACACGGCTCAAAACCGTTTGCAATAGCGTCGGTGCATTTATTCTTTATGTTCTCTCAAATCCTAATCTTCTGAATTCTTCAACCCCTCTAGTTTTGACTTTCTAAACTTTTCTCACTGAATCATATTTCTTGAATATCTTCCAATCCTAACCTCTCCGATTACTCCTAATACCTTTACTACCTCTTCTACTTTTGGATTTGAATTGACAATTATATCTCTGTGCTGATGTGGTATGGCAACATGAACTGATGTACTTACGTACCAAGTTCTACGTTGCATTTGACTGACTGTATTCTTCCTCAGCAAGTTACTCGACATACTTTTATACACTGTTGTTAGGTGCAACCGTAAACCAACCTATCTCTTCCCATTATATTCGTCAGTGTCTGACCTTTATTTGGAAAGTTTGTTAAATGCACCATTCGGTCATAATTCCATGTTGCTGTACTTCTTACGGATTCTACACGTATTTAGTGTATCAAGCTGATTTACTTTACAAACTTTCACTGTAGAAGATTAGTTACTTTTTAATTTCAGCTCTTTGTGGTTAAGTTAATCTCAGGTATTGTTATCTTTTAGTATCAGTTTATTTATTATCAATGCATATTTTTTATCTGAAGACGATCATTATCCTTTCATCATTAGATTTGGTTACGCTTTTGATTCTATAAAATGTTGGCTGATCCTACTCTTCGGTATGCGGATATTCAAGCCTGTTGCTCTTGTCTTGGGTTTCGTGAGGGCGATACATACAAAATAGATACTGATGCAGAAGGTAAGCCTAAATTTTATGGAGTCCATTTTCAGTCTCTATCCGCACTTTGTTGCGTTACCTACGAAATGAAACTGCTGAATGTGATATACGACGGGAACTTGGTCAACTTCGCATTGTTTCAAGTGATCTCATACCACTTGTCCGTTGTTGTAACGATAATAAAACATTATTTGAGCTGGTCATTCGTCTTCTCATGAATTTGACCCAACCTGCAATTGTATGTTTTCGTCAAGAGGTACCAAAGGATCGTGATCTTTACAGTGCTTATCTTCAAGTTGATGATTTGCTGAGGTCATACAAAAAAGTAGGTAATATTATATGTACATGGATAAAACCCTAGGACTTTGCAGATGAAGAGTTGTTTCGAGTTTTGTGCAATGTTGTAGGCAGTTCTTTAGACAAAGTAAGTTGCACCTTGTATTTATTAGTTATCGTACATACCAAAACTCTTCAATTAAATGAAGTTCCAGCAATAATTGAAGTGTTTTATATCTATATATATTTATTTAAACCACAGAAAAAAGAACGTAAACCTCTAAAAATCAGGTTACGTTAGTAGAATGATGTTTATGTTATGTTATATGACTACTTTTGTTACTATTTAGCAGCTAAATGGTTTAAGAGATTGATTCTCAACCATGAACAAGAAGTTTGAGTCTTGTTTTACTTACCTCGTACAGTGCTATAATCAGATGATTAATCCCTAAAGATACGTGATAAAATCATAACCGTTTTTATATGAGTTTGGTTTTCAGCCTTATACTATAGAAAAGAGAATAAATTGTGTGAATGCACAGGTGTCGACTATTCGGTCGAAGTCTGCGTGATTATCGTAACTAGTGATTCAAGACAGTAGTCGATGTAGTTCACAATCATTTGTAATGTAATCGATTGATGTTACCTTAGATCCCAAGTTTAAAATTCTTTATAATCTTTTTATCTCACTGATTTCTATTTTCTTGGATCATATTCTGAATGCTTGATCATTTTTGCTACTACCTATACCATTACTACCTCTTCTAATATGAGGTTTTCCCCAACAATTTTATCTCATGATGATGTATGGCAACTGGAACCGATCAACACTTCTACGTTTAGTTTGACTAACTGGCAAAAAATTTCTGGCTCATAAATAATCATAAGCACCTTTGTAATTTTCCTTACTTGCAGTTAAACACAAACGTAACTTCTTTATATAGGACAACTAACCAAATTGGTTCATTAACATAAATTGACACATCCGATCATGTTCCACAATAGTATGCTCCCTAATATCTTTTTTAGTGTAAGTATTGATCTAGATGGCTTAGAACATGCATAGGTTCAAACATTTGAACATCGCTATCTTTAGAGTATTTATTGCTTATGTTGAAATTACAAGATTCATATGAATATAGGCAGTAAATTCATCTACTTTACTAAGATTGATTTCCCGGTTATACCGCCTAGTCTCAAGACATGAGTTTTGAACTCGTCATAAAGAACTTGTAGTTTCATTACACTACCCAAGCTAACATTTGGAGACTTCATGATTCGATGCTATATTGTGACATTATTTACCTGTAATGATGTCGATAATCTCAGACTTTCAAACAGCTTTTGTGAACAAATAGCATCGATCTTTCATTTTGGTGAATAATAGTACTACTAGCTTCAGGCTTCTTTTTAATATGAGTTCCTATCTGAACGCTGTTACACTTTACGCTTGTTTTGGTTTAATATATCTAATTTGTGACTACTTTATTCAGTTTACTACTGACTTACTAATTACCTTATACTCTATATAATTTTGTAGAGTTGGGAAGAAAGAAGTGAAGAAGATCGTCTTCTAATTGAGCGTATTTTGATTCTAATACGTAATGTACTTCATATTGTTCCAGATGTTGTCAGTGAACAGGTAATTGATCTTATCCTGTTGAGACAAATTTACTTCAGCGTACGGATGAGGATGTTTCTGTACATGACCAGGTTTTATGGGCAATGCATTTATCTGGATGGGATGAACTACTTTTGTTCCTTGCAAATTCAGAAGATGAACAAATGTTCGCTTTTCACACCCTTGAAATCATATCACTAATGTTAAGAGAACAGGTCAGTTTTATTCTGTCTATTTATCCGATTACAGTCTCATAGGAAGAACTTTTCTATTTCCAAAGAAGTAATCTTTGTATCTATAATATTTGAATATATACCAGGAATAATACAAAGTCTCTAAATGAACTAATAAAATATCCACAAAGAAAATTCTCTGTGTAACAGTTTCCTTTTGCTTATTTATGGATAGAAGTTTTAATAATTAGTGAGGAAATTAGTTTCTTATTGTTGGCTAAATATTAGAAAGGTCTGTATTTTAAGTGTTATATAATATCCACCGAAAATAAAGAAGACTACCTTTTCGTCTAAATTTCAAGTGTCCTAGTTATGATTTCACGACTTTAAGAGAAAATCCAACAAAACATTTATGGATGTCTACACAATAAGAGAATAAAAGTTTTACTCTTTAAAGTTTATTCAAACGTAATGATGAAATGTTCTAAGTTTGTCTGTGAATGTCCAAGAGATTCTGACGTAAAATTGAACACAATTAATCTATATTTTCTTGTTTAAAGTGATAGCCGGTTTCATTTTTGTCATCTTTGTATCCGTAATCTTTTAACGCATAGAATTCTATATCGTCCATCATAGTTGAGTTGGATCAATATATTTAGACTGATGAGTTGATTTGTCGACCTCTAAAAATTCGCGATTCCAGTTATCGTTAAAGTCACCTATACTGATCAAGTAAATCACATTAAAGCTTGTTGCTTTTGTTTACCTTGAATACTGTAACAAAATATTCCAAACTAAGTTGTGTTATATAAACTTTATGTGATTCTGTGGAAAATCTAGTTATAACCATTATGTATAATAAATCATGTTTCACATCAATCATTTGTAAATATCACTCTAGCTTGTAAACACAACAGTGTATTGAGATGTATACACCATAGAATTGATTCAAATATCTCTTTTTATTTTCGCAGACACCTGAGCTTCTTGCCTGTGCTGGAAACAGAGCAGAGACTAAATCTGAATTGAACACTCAGAGAAAGTATGTTTCAATTATTTTCAGTACAAACTAATGGTATAGACTTATTGAAAGATTGAAAATTCGGGATGATACGGAACGAAAGAATTTTCTTTACGCCTGTAACCTAAGGTGAGTGTCTAAGACTTGGTTAAATTTTATCACTGTAAATTTATTTTAACTAATAAACAATTGCACTATGACTTTTCGGTTTCTTACATTTTTAGCATCGTATCTAGTCTATCGTGACATTATTCACCGACTAGATTTTGTGGATATTATTCATTACTTTTATTGAAGTAGGATAACAGCATGTAATCAAAGATAATATCTATAATATTACAGTTCAGAAACCACACACAGAAATAATTCATTAAATAGTAAGCCAGATCTTTTTGAAAAGGTTTAGAAATCATACTCAGCATCCAGACCTTATCAAATGAGCTTCCTATAAAGCAACTTAGCCATTGACATTCAATTATCTATGTTTCTGAAGCAGTAATTCACAAGATAAGATGTATCTTGTGGAGATGAGCGCCACATTTCTATTCATATCTAAACTAGATTTCTTTTTTAACTCGTATAAGTCAGACATATGAATCGTATAGAATCCATTTGTAAATACATTTCATATTGATATACATGTTATAGATTTTACTAAGTCTCTGTTTATTTTAAGACAGCTTAGGTAAAGCTGAGCTTCATCCTCAGTAAGTTTTACGAATATATATTTTATGGAATCATACTTCTTTTTTTTCAAAAGTTATAATTGACAGCTGTAATATCATATGATAAACTTGTGCAAACTACCATTAGCATAAAGTTACTTAAAATTCTAAATATTTAATTTTGTTGCCAAACAAACACAATGAAACATGTAAAATTAAATTCACTCATCCTTCAAGTGACACCGTGAATGTGAAGGCTAATGATACTACTCGGCAGATCAAACCAAAGTAGGCGGACAGGGGTTAGAACAAAAGACTGGAAGTTGAACATCTCAGCCGCTGAACCACCGCTTCAAAGTAGTGTATGTTGTCCGGTAATGAGAAATACAACAATTCACTCCGTTCCACTATACGGATGTGGAACATGACCATTAAGAATAGAGGATATTCGTGGGTTACTAGTATTCGATCATAGATGTCTTCAAAGCATTGCTCATATATCCTAGGACCACTGAGTAAGCAATGATTGGGTTAGGAAAATGGTACTAGGTAATAATGGCATATCAATTGATGAACTTATGGATCATCGTCAGTTGAGGTGGGTTGGACACGTGTTACGTATAACTAACCACCGGCTATCTCGATAAGCGATGTTTTCAGATATAGGAATAGGCTGAAAGAAAGCTGGGGGCGGCTAGACCAAAACATGGCTCCATGAATTCATGGAGCTACTGACAGCTAAACTGAGCTTTGTAGACCAGCTAGTTGTGGTTCGCGAGACAATCGTAATCGGTGTTTAGACTAGTACAGTATGAATCGTTCTTTTTCAATCATATGTTAGTTGGTTTCAGTTTTCTTTATATGCTTACCTTTAGTGATTCATTTTCTTTAATTCTTTACATAGACAGGCACGATTTGGTGGTGCTTTTGAACTGGCAAACACACCATCTTTGAGTGAACGCCCACTGATTTACCATCATGATATTACTCAAACAGCACAAATGGCAACTGCAATTTCTAAACAATTGGACAATGCTGTCGATGTGGTGGATAATGTTGGCATCGTAGAATTAGATGTAGGAAAGCGAAAGTTTCGTAAGTCTAAACATCGTAAACCTTTAGTTGATCGATCGGTACATCGGCGTTCAATTTTGGCTGTCCAGTTGTATCTACAGGTATTGATTTTATAGTAAATGTTATTTCCTTACATTATTTTCATGTCTTCCAGTGATAAATTTCTTAAGTCGATGCTAACTTCTCATATAACTTTCACGCTACATTCATAGATATGTGCTTCGTATTTTTCGTCAGCCGTAGATGTCACTCAATATTGTTCATTTGTCGTCTGAAGAAGTCTACTGTTTTGTGTTGTTCATTGTCTAGAAACTGGTGAAAACTTTGGTTCTCATTCTCCTACTTTTCCTATACTGTTGGTAATAATCCTCATGAAGTAGCAGTTCCAAATTTTCAGATTCAAATAATGTAACCAGATTTTAGTTTTGGGAACAGTTCAAATTAAGACTGAATGTTTATATCTATATGTGTAACTGTCTGTTATGACAGAATACACGTACTTCGTTACTACAGCTTCAACTACGAAAAGCATATATTATTTATCGGAGCCTTTTTAAAATTTGTACCATAACTGGTTATGGATCTGTAAAATTGTTCATTCACTTCCAATAAAAAAAATAACGAGTTTAACCGTTTCTCCATTTGTCTTATATTTTAAATCAAATATCATAATAATTTCTATCCTATAATGCAGCTATTATGACTTATATATTTTACTAACAATTTAGAGTTTCTGTTGGCAATTTCTAAAATTCTGCTATAATCCAATTATGCGCGTTGTACAATCAGGTTTAACTCGTCAAGCTACTCAAGAGAATGATGAAACTTATTTCCTTTGGGCTATGCGATTCTTTATGGCATTTTGTCGAGTTTACCGATTTCGCTCAGACTACATAAGGTATATATTGTTTTACAACTTGTTCAAGTATTAATTATTTGTAATAATGATTCATCAGATAAGCATTCAAATATTCTAATAATGTTACGCTGTTTAATTTCCAGTGCTGGTAAAGTCATATTAGATGGAGCAAGAACAACGAAGTAACACAATAAGACGAATTCACTTTATTTCGCGGTTTCCCATCAGCTGCGTACAAATTATACATGATATTAATCAGTAAAATCAGTGTACATACTCTCTATCATAATATCAGAAATGTCATCTATAAGGATTGAAAAACGGTAACAAATGCGAAAGAATTGCAAAAGATGTTAAAACGTAATAGTATATGAATAAAGCGAATTCATTGTATTCCGCTATGTTTGTTGTTCTTGATGTCATTATACTATGATTGGCACAACCAACCTAGTTGTATTGAGTAATTAAATGGGATAGTCTCTAATTGCAGTAGTACATGATTCATATTTAAATATTTGTAAAGTACGTGCTTTCCAAAAGTTGCAGATACACATAACTGATTAGTTTCAGCAAGTTTGAAGCTCAAGGCTTTCTAGAACATCTGACAAGGAATAATAATGCATGTATAGTCATATACTGACTGAATCGTGAAAGCAAACAAGTTGAATAATATTGCCTTTTCATTCTTCTCTCGTCAGTACAAAATTTTTGATTACTATTTAAATGTGTTACACATCAGTAATTAACTTTATAAATCGTCTCCTAGATTGTTCTTGTAATTATGTGATCAGCAAATGTTTCTCTAGCAAGAAAGCTTTCTAAACTAGCTGGTTTATTCTTATCCATCGGTCACCAATACATTCTTTCATTTCTACAGTTGAAATCACCAATCCGCAAATCCTCTTTGCTAATACCACTCTTTCATGTTACATAGTTTCTGATTCCTTCTCAATGAAGCACATGATTAGCAGTTTGAAATAATCGTCAAACATACCGTGATTGATAATTGTATTCTAGATTCTACATAATCGCCAAACTATATTTCAAACGAGATATACACCGTAACCCATCTTGTGTTTCAATAAGATCTGTAAATGTAAACTAGATTACTGATGAATTTTTCAGGAAACATATCCGATAAGTTATTAACATTTCACTACTCAACTTTGTTAAATCTATGAACAGTGTAAAATTTCATAAAAATATCTTGTGTTTCATTTGAAAGTGAGACTAATCTTTGTATAAATCAGTAAAAATATGCCTGACTCAATACCTTCTCAAAAATAACTGTAATAAAAATATTCAAGCTGTCTTTTTATATGCTGGATAGATAGCAGTTTTAATCAATTCCACTTTGTAGCATCCCATTGTAAATCATGTCAAATTTGTAAAGTGTTTTTGTTCTCATTCGTTAAGAAAAAATCTCAGACTAGTAGTGATCAGTAATTATTCAATATTCTTTTGTTTAAATACTTTGGTTAAAATTGGTTAGATTAAATGATTGTCCCTAAACGCATTTTTTAGTCTGGAAATTAATGTTATGGACACGTTAATACCTGGTGATCTATATGTTTCCACTAAGTATTCTCTTGTTATTTAATTTGTTTATATGTTGAATGAATCGATGGCGGTTGCTTGTTTATTCCTAATTAGAGCTCTTCTTGACACGTTCATTACTTGTCGATAAGCATAACTAATACAGATTTCTTCAAAATAATTATGACCATCCCATTTTACAATATATCAACTGTTAAACTTCATAACTATTTCGAACTACTTGTTTGATAAAATTTTATTGTTTTCTTTACTGCACAGAGGATATTTGAACAATCCTTTTACTGTTCTGTATATTGTTAATAAGTAAACTATCTATTCATTTCATGTTTCTATGTTCCATTATTTTGGGTGTAGCCTTTTCACTTTTGCAGGACACTGACACTGTATGCCAATAACTAAAAACGGTTATTGAAATGACTTTTTCGTTGTTTTTTCTCTTTTCCTATTCATATTGTACTGTTGTTATTCTCCTAGTGAAACGCTTAGTGTTTCGATTTTTCATTGGATATATGATCAAGTAATAAACTATAAAGAACATTTAGTTACTAACAAACGTGGTGGTGCTTCAAATCAACGTGCAATGCAAGCAGCTCGACGGTTAGAACTTGCCGTAACCTGTTATAAAGAGTTCCTCACCTGCTTAAATCGTATGCTTCATGTAACTGCTACAGATAGAACTGTCCAACCAGATGATGACGAAACACAAGATGGTGTTGAAGAACGATTACGTTTACAAGCCAATGTGGCGGAGTCGATTATTGGTACGTAATAAATCATGCTACATTTATCCAAAATAAAATCGATTGATATTTATCACTTTGGCGTATACTATAAGTTTGATTACAGTAAGCAGTTTTCAGCACAGAATATGTGATGTTCCAACAACATTGCGCCCTAGTCAGTCTTTCCGTTTTATTAATATCTTACCTTCGAATATTTAAACAGTGATTAAGGGGCACTTATATTCATTCATAATTGTTTACCAATCTTGTGAATTCCATTATTATTGTTTCATGTTTTTTTGAAAGACAGTGGAAGAAAATATACGTACCATCTTGGTGGTACTTCTTTAGTTCATCGGTAGCTGAATCCACAACAAGTTGTAAACTTTTTATTAAAGTAAATAAGTATGTATACTCAGCGGTCATAGTTAAATAAAGCAAATATAAAACCGAAAATGTTGACCCAAAAGTTTGAGGATGCTACCATGTTAAGTTGAACATCAATGTTCAATGAGTATAGAAACTGTACGTAGGAGCTATCATTTGATGTACATTTTAGATTTAGAAATGATGGGTAAGCGCCATAAACGTGTATTCTTTGCGTATAGTCTTAAACACAACAACTTTTCATTAGTTTCTAGGCTGATTGTAGCCGTAAAGCATAGTTACCACTGGTTTATCAATCCATAATCCAGTTTAGTTATTCAGTCAGTTACGACTTAGAACTCCGTATGTACGTACATAAGTTCTTGCTGCCATAACCACATTAGCACAGAGACGCGATTGTCAGTTCAAATCCCATAAGAGTAGAGATAGTAGATTAGCGGTAATGGAGAGGATCAGGATTCAAAGAAGTTATTCAGGAAGTATAATTCATCTAAATAAATTAAAAAGGAGAAAGATATGGGTGATGAGAAGTTCAAAAGATTAGAATTTCAGAGAACACAAAGAGTGGATGCACCTGCGCCATAGCAAACGGTTTTGAGCCATGTCATTCAGGGTCTCTAAACATCGATTACATGTGTATTTGTGACTAGCTAACTTGTAATTATATTTACTGCTCACCATATAATGTCAGCTTTTTTTTACAGCTAATGTATTTTATGTTGCTGAATATCAAGAAGTATTTCCGAGTCTACTCAGGGATTACAATGAAATATTTTTGTCCAAGTATGTTTACTTTATCTTATAATGAATAAGGTATTATCTCTGAAGTTGTTTCTTGATCTGTTTATTATTCATCTATTAATTTAACATAGAGAACTTTAGAGTTTTTTTATTGCGTTGCATATTATGCCTTCGATTCACTTATCAAATTACACTCAGATGGTTATTATCATTAGTCTGTTATATAATGTTATACATACATATTTTTCGTTATATGTATAGTGCTAAATTCAGTTTATTCAGTAATACCTGACTGTAGACGCTACCTTGACGTGCTGGTCGAGCTTAACAATCGTGATGGTTCAGATGAGCTATATTGGCTGGAGCTTATGTTTCTTTAGGTGCTATCGTGCCAGGCAAGTTGATTGGAGAACGGTAAGACTAAAAGTAGCAACTTAAGGTCTGGGGGCGAAGTCATATTGCTGACTGTAGAGGGCTGTGACAGCAGTAAGGAGTTTCCTTTGGACAGCCAGCATCTGCAGCAGTATTGTCTTCTTACAAGAAAGGAGGGGGTTAAAAACGTCGACACTATGAATGTTACACCTCACCTTACCCTACGGATTTCTTTCTCCAGCGGTAGGTCTTTTTGAGGAGTGAGTCTAACTGCTCAAAAACGTCCCATGCGCGACCAGCCTCAAGCAGTTGTCCCTTGGGCTTTGTATTCACGCTTCAAGGTCTCTAAAACCAACGCTAATCCGATTCCTTCTCCAGGTCCCTCAAGAATAAATATCCTTCCACGGTGTGGGTAATCGGGAAACGACATCCGCCCTCATATTCATACCGGCACACAAGATCAACTTGATCACAATCAAATCTTCCCTCCATTGCTTGATAACCCACTTATCTCCACGACTAACCCTTCTTGCATCTGTCTATCACCTCGTGCTGCTGAGGCAAGCGATTCGAGTTCACAAAATGTTATGCCTAGTCTCCTGAAACCACTCTATAAACTAGGTGTTGGGGCTTTCAATGTTCGAACCTTATGCCAAATAGGGAGATAGGCTTACTTAGCTAGGACTTTTGAATCTCGTGCTGTCGATGAATGCTACGTCTCTGAAATGAGCATACACGATCCGAGTAGAGTCATTCATTCGACATGACCTTGTTGAGATAAAAAGCCGTCTTCATTTACCCTTTGTGTATCTAGAGGCCTCCCTTCTGCCTCCCGTAGCCTTGCTGGCGTAGGTATAGCATTGAGTTGTAGGGCAGTACTAACTGACTTAGACTGGATCCCAGTATACGGTCTGTTGTGCGCTGTCTGACTAAACGGGACAGTAAGTAGTGGTATCTGCCAGTAAGTTAAACCAAAAGGTTAGGGAAAATCTGTGGATTTCAGTAGTATCTACTAAACTGATAGATGCTCAGAAACTCATCCTGTCTGGCTCTGAACACAATAAGGAGTGGAGGTAGCTTAAACGCAGGCTGAGAAAAAGCCTACGCAATGGTTGTGAGAAGTGATAGGGGACGAAAGCAAAAGATCGGAAAGGTGGCGGCGATAGGTAACAGTAGACGACTGTTTTGATTTATCAAGGAAACGGGTATTAAAAGTTCGGTCATTAATGAGAATCTCAGAAATCGATGGGCATATTATTCATTCTCAACACAGGAGATTGGATCGAGGGGCAGAACACTTTAGGGAGCAGTCCAACTGGCGTTCAGCCACACTTCGGTCAACCACGATCTCCAGTCATCCTGAATAGCAAATCGATGTAAATCCTGTAACTCTTAATGAAGTTAAAAAGGCTATAGGAAATCTGAAGCAAGGGATAGCAGCGGGCCCTGATAGATTTACCATTGAGATTTTTAAGGATGGTGGTACAGTGTTAGCACCTACATTGACTGAGATCGTAGGTAGGATTTGGGAACCAGACATAATCTCATTTGACTGGTCTCAATCACTAATTGCCCCAGTTTATCAGAAAAGGACAAAAGTCCTGCTATGACAATCACAGAGGGACCAGTTTATCTTATATAGTGTCTAAAATGTTAGCCTCGATAGTAATTCGAGTGCTCATAATGAGCGGACTCGCGAAAATCAGAGTGGTTTCAGACCTGGGTGTGGCTGTATGGACCGGATATTCACACTACGTCAGGTCCTTGAACAAAGACAAACATTCAGACAACGCGGTTAGTCTTATGTTTTGTCACTTAGCTTTCATTTCTTTCATATATCACATAATAGTCTGTAGTCTGTAATTAATGAGCTCCATTTATTTGAATGTACTACTTGGAATCAAATTATTAGCCTTCCGTAAAATGTCATCATGTTTAAATTCAGTTTACAAATGTCCATTTCGATTTACTTGATTAGTTTTCGATTTCAAATGTATTAATAACTAACAAGACATTTTTCAATATGTATATGTACTGCACTTCTTGTTGTAAGTTTCGTGATACGCTAATCTTCGTTCAAATATAATTTTTTCTTCTAGAGATTATTTGCGTGATTTGGTTGAAGGTTCTCACTTATTTATAACTTTACTTTCCGACAAGATCTGTGGTAGCAATAAAAAAATTATTGTAAAACGTCGAAGAGTTCGCCGAAAAAAGAAACGTTCTTCAAAACCTAAAAATGAAATTCATAATCGTAGAGCCGTTCTAAATCAGGAACCTGAAGCTGTGAGGATTAGTCGTCTCAAACAACAATGGTCTAGTCAGTTAGAAGGTCCCCTGATAGAGATGTTACTTGGAACAGCATATCAAGAGAATCAACAGGATGAAAGTGATGATGAAATGAATGATACAAGACTTTTCGATGCAACTACAGGAAACAGTGAAGATCAACAGTTGAAATCAGCTATCCGCCGTGTTCAAGCTGCTTTATTTGCCGGCTCAGCTAAAACCGCTTTATCAATGGCCAAAAGAATGTGGCGTCTTTGGCCGGAGGTTGCTCCAGTTACATTTGAGGATGATAATTTAATTATTGATGCTGGGCGTGCTGCAGGATTACGGCCTGAATGCCTGAATATATTAGGAGCTTTACATCAAATTCATATGACTGAAATAGGTTAGTTTCTTGAGATCTTGTGGGTTCGTTATTTTTACTTTACTCTAGTTTATGGTTCCTTGAATTATTTCTGAAGCATGTAATCAATGTCTTCGTTGCGATTAGAATACTGCGATTAATTTATCACAAATTATTAGACCGTCGAAAGTTAAAATTACATTTTACCGGGTATTTTGTATAATTGTGAACAAGGTGACAAAGACGTTTGTTTATGCAAATTTCCATATATCAGTCAGTTAGCTGCAACGTAGAACTTCATACGTACGTACATCAGTTTTAAAGTTGCTATACCATATTAGCACAGAAACTATACAACCTAATTTGCTTAGGATGATGTAGAATAAAATACGTTAGAGATCCTATCATAATTGTCTGTTGCATTTTTTATGCAAGTTAAATGAACTTAACTACAAAACATCTTTCTTGGTTTTACTTTTAACTGAGTCCAATTGTTCTTGTTCATTTAGTCACTAAATTTGCAAATTTACCGTCTTATTATGCTGCATAATATTATTACCTTTTCAATGTGGTTCATTTTTTCTAATGATTTATTGTATCAACTCTTATATGCTTCAAATTATATTTTATTTCTATGTCTGATTTCTTTTCGAAATTCATCAGTTTATGTCCTTTCTACATTTAAGCGGAGGAAGAAGAAGAGACAGTGAATAATTCGTCCTCATCAGATGGTAGTGATAGTGATGATCTTTACAATGAAGAACTTGGCATTGCTGATTCAAACGATGAAGAAATAGTTACAACTGAAAAAGAAGTAGTTCTAGACTTCAGTGCTTTTATGCTCAAATTTGTTCATCCACGTGTAGTACATGCCTACACGTAAGTTCTCATCATTTCCTTGAATTAAATAATGATAATAATAATAATTAACCTCATAGAAACGTTTTTTGTTTACTCAAGATATCAAGCTTTTTTCTTCATTCTTGTATTTGTTGATTAACAAAGGGAATCGTATTAGGTACGAACTCGTTGAAATCTATTCTTTGGTTAGTCCAAATCAAGGTTTAAATAATATACTACCCATAGAGCTACTCAATATGATTGTTTGATATAATTTTAATCTCTCGCTACAAATACTGCTAAAAATGCTTGTCTTTTGAAATTAAGTAATAATCCGTGAGATAACGTTGACATATCTATCCCCTTCATTAAAAATTTATTTCTATATCCAACTGACCATATCTGTAAAGTGACATAGACTCTGTAATTATCGTCTTCAGAATATATTATTATTCATTGCTGAATGAGCTACTGAATACCAGAGATTATGAACTACTTTTCTTGTTACCTGATTGGAATAACAACAGATAGTTTGACGAAAATTGGACACCAAGTATAGTAAAGGCACTGTGTGTGAAAATTATATTTACAATAGTCTCAGTGACTACAGTTTACATGATTTTAACGCTTCACCTGGCAAGCTTGCTTACATTTCTTCAAGACAATATCTAAAATTATCACCGAATATTTAACGTTTAAGAAACAAATAAAAAGCTTATCCAATTCTGTTCAGATGTTGATTTTGTCAAGTGGGAAAATAGTGGTCGGTGAATGGACGTGAATAAAGTGAAAAAGAATGAATACGTACCTTTATGTTATTAATTAATAATTACAGTTTATTGAATCAATGTAATGTCTGTCTATCATCAAATACTTCTTGATCATTTTATATTGCAATTAAAAATTTGGACTTTATGTCAATCCATCTTGTTCATAGTTGACAGAATATGATTATTATTGCTTCGATTTCGAAATAAAAATATTTTTGTTGATAGAAGAACAACACAACTTCATAAGATTGTATGTGTTATAACAAGCTTGTAGTTAACTAATTTTTACTCATCAGCTATCTTAATCGTATTAAATGCAATAGGATTCGAAGCTGCCATATGATAGTTAAATATTGGTTACTTTACTCAACTACTCACGTCTGTAGATATTTTCATTTATTTCATTTATCAGTAGTTATGCAAGCTTTATATTATAGTTTTATGTTTTGTGTCTGGTAAGTATAGTGCTAACTGGTTAGCCACATTGTAGTTGATTTTCCTGATTTAATTTCAAAATTCTTTGAACATAAAACTTGCAAACTTTGCTCCTGTTCATACTATTAACTAACTAAAACACTCAAACCTGTTCGTTTCCATGGCTAATGATAGATCATAATCACTGTCAAGCATCAACGATCCACTTATACAAATCACCATGATGTTATCACTGAAATAAATTATCCTATTTTATGCATTTGCTTAACCTCTTTATAAATTAAGCATCTTGATGTAAATTAGGAACTATTTCTTTGTGTGGTCTTTGAATTACATTCAAAACTGATTTTCACTTGATATGATGAATTGATAAATAATCTCAATATGATAGGATATTTAAGTGTTAAGGCTTTCATTCGATTGGGCCGGTTAAAAAATAATTATTCTGTTGAGCTGCAGAATTCAAAAAGTTTGACATAAAATAAATCATGGTTTAAAATCCTGTGAATACTGTACTTGGAATGATAGATCTGTACCTAATCATATCACAAGTATCTGATTGTCATATGTAAGTTCAAATTAGTGGTCTAAGGAGGGAAAAGAGTAATATTAATAAAGTTATAATTGTTATTTCTTATTTCAATATCTCTATTATAATCCTTTTGTGTTTTGTTTTTGTATAATTATATTAATTAGTTTACTTTTGGAGAATTACAATGATAATGCGGATTCAGTTAATCATGCAATTGTACATACTATTCATCGATTAGCTGTACGAGAAAAATTACCCGGTTGTTTTTTTCAATTGCGTTTATTCCGAGTATTTCAGAAATTTTTACATGATCGTGCTGTAGCTACCTCGTCAGAATTTAAAGTGAGTATATTAAGTATTTTAGTGAGGTAATCACCTTGGTACAATTTATTTTTCTGCTATTATTACTTAAAGCAATCATGTTCAAAACTCACAGTAATATTTATGTCGTATCAACAAATATCTTGCGTATGCTAGATATCTGTCTGCTAACCAAAGGACGAGTCTACTGCGTATCTGTTCGCTCCATCCTACTTTATGGCTGTGAAACATAGCAGGTAAGAGTTGAGGATATTTGTAGGTTATTAGTATTCAATTTTTGATGTCTTCGAAGCGTTGCTATCGAATAAGCAATGCTGTCGTTACGAAACGAGTACTAGGTAGGGATAGCAAATCAATAGATGAAGTATTGAAACTGCATCAGTGGAGGTGGTTAGGATGTGTGTTACGAATGCCTAAGTTACCGACTGCCTTGACGAGCGATATCTTGTTGGAAGAAAGCTAGAGACGGCCAAACCAAAACATGGCAGAAATGCATGAAGTCACTGACAAATGGACTGAGTCTTGTGTTCTCTCAAACTCTAGTCTTCTGTAACCCTCATCACCTGTTTTTCTCTTTCTACATTTATTTCACTGAATTATGCTTCTTGAATAATATCTCGAACCCTAATCTGGTGTCACGCAATTAGTTTTAAGCTTGTTATATTTATTTAGAAAAATAGTCCAAGTCTCATATGATTATCTTTATTAGTAATCCGTGCTACAATCGAATTGAATTGTTAAACAATTGCTGTCTTTTTTTAAATAATTTATCAGGAATTAGCCAATCTCATTAAATATATTCTAAGAAAATTCTTTGAAGCTCAAGTGAAAAATAATTATATTCTAATTGAAACTCTTTTCTTTAAAACACCCAAAGAAAGCTATGAAACAGTTCAAGGATATGGTACTTTTGAAAGCAAGTGAGTAGACATTGTATATACAATATATGTTAACACTAACCTATATTAGAAATCCAATTATCTTGCAGTATACAGTATCATGAAAATCATTAATTTTTTCCACATGAATCGGTATACTCATTTCAGTCCCTTTGACTATTCATAATTATTCGTTCATGTTGATAATTTTGCAATTGTAAATTGATTTTTTTTTTAACTAACTCAATGACTTGGTTTTCTTCAGTAAGAAAACTCTTCACTGGACTAGTGAACATGATAAAGAACTCACTCAACTATTTGAAGCTTATCGTCATGATCCGGTTCCCTCTGGTAAATTATCTATTTCTTGATAAGATTCTTGAATAAAATGAGTTTCCTTGTTCTCATTTCGTTTATATGCATTACTTTGTTGGTTAATTTGTTAAAATTTTGTTTGCATCGGTTGATATTTAAAAATTGGTTGTAATTCGGACGCATACAATCCATTTAAACCGTTGTGTTGTCGAAAATAAATTATGCAATTATAAGAATATTCAGCCAAGCCCACCTGGTTATTTGTTATGTGTGGATTGAAATATGAATAACAAACGCAGAAAAATACTAGCAATTCATTTCTTTCACGAATTCTCTATAGCAGTTGGTTTTGATCTAGGAACATATTATTATCTGGAAAATAGTAAGATGTGCTTACTTTGTGTGAAAAAAGTCTCCAATAAATCGATGTTCAGGATGCAAATGTAGAATAATTAAAGACAATAATTGTAGTGGAATTAATAGGTTCTCTCACAGTCATCTGTCTTTTTGGTCAAATGAAATAACAATTTTTCTTCATTTTTTTCTAAATTTAATTTAATAGGTAACGATTTAGCTGATGTACTTCTCAAACATTTTTCCGATTCTAGCAAAACTCGTCGACAAATTATTGCCAGATTGATTACGTTGGGCTTGATTACATCGTTGAAACAACTCAAAGAGATTACGTTAGTTAATTCCTCTTTTCTTTGAAAAATATTTTTATAGTTATTTCATTCTGGACTAATGACAACCTAACACTTTATTCATATTTAATCAACAGTAATATTAATCACTGATTTGGGATCAATCAAATGTTAATATTTCAGGTCTACTAGAGGCCAGTCGCTGTCTGACTATCCCAGTTGTAGTTGATCGCACTGTGACTCTATGCGAGTCTGAATCCCTCAAGGATCATCAGTATCCTCAGTCAGCTCTTCATGATGAATGAGGAAATCAATAGTAGTTGAGCAAATAAGCATCAGTGATATTTTGGGGATCTTTTAATCAGGTAGATTGTTTAAGAGAAAAAGTTTCACAAACTTCTTTCCTACACAATTATTTGGTTGCACTTTATAAACCTGTAGTATGGTTTTGAATGACTGTAAAACAGGAAATTCTTAAAACACTCAAAGTGAAAAAAAGATTAATCACTAAAATTGTCAACTGAAATCCCATTCCATAATTCAATGAAGTATTCTAATCGTTTTCTGTTGAATTAGGCTGCTTTTTATATCAACCGAACAAAACAGTCCTCAAAAATTATTTACGTACTTATGTCTCTGCTATAATGTGTTAACTTTTGCACAACTAAGCAACCTAACGAAATTTTTATCTACCTTAAGTACTGTTGACTATTTTTAAGGAATCGGAAATATTACGATTTCTATGTATGAGTTCAACATTTTAGAGTGCGAACCATCACATTCATTATTGTTAAACATTTTAGAGTTCGCCTCCCCAAACTTCCTGGTGAACGAAATCGACGTCTATTCAATAATGAAGAGTCAAGTGAGTGGACTGAACAAGAAATAGCTCGACTAAGAGACATAGTCGAGTTGCACAAAGGTTCAAAAGGTAAGATTCCAAATGATGTAAACAGTTTTTCAACTTATGTTCATGGGTTTACTAAATCAGTACTTTCTAAATTCAAGGTATATTTTGAGTTCTTGCCAAAATGAAATAAATATTTATTATGGATAAAATCAGATACCTATTAGCAACTGTTGTTGTGTCCCTTGATTTGTTTTTATATCTGCTTTTCAGATATGCTAACTGAAATTATAAACGAAATAAAGGTAGATCATGATCTAGCTGTTCAACAATGTTTGGAACAAGAAATCATGGCGGATGAAAATCGATTAGACAGATATATTCCAGCTATTCGTACTAGACGTGTAGTAGCTGCTAAAATTCTTGAACTTGGTCTAGTGGATAATGAGGATGAACTTAAAAAGGTTGTCTATAAGAGGAAACCTACAAAAATAAAAAATGTGGATATGGATGCTTCAATAAGACCAAAGAAAGGCAAGAGCCGCAAGAAGAAGCCTTCTTCATCAACATCAGATGATGAGCAGTATCCGAGTTCATCACATGAATCAGAAGAAGTTGCAAACGTTCCACACAATTCAAATTCAAAACACACTACAGAGAACAGTAGTTCTGAATATACTAATCAGTTCGTTAAATCAGATAAACGATCTAGTCAAACGAATCATCTCCAAGATGATATTTCTGGAACAGTTTCCCCAAACTCTGACTCAGGGTAAGAGTAGAATTAATAATGTTAATTCATGTGCACACTTATATTGCGTTCAAAAATGTCATATTCACTAATTCGCTTTTAAAGTATGTACAAAAAACTAATTGATAAATAACTAAGAACTAGGCAGTGTTCAAACTGGAATATAATGTGTATAAATTCACGATAACGTTTATTCATAAGCACTAGACTGTGTATAGTTTATTTAGATATTCATTTGGATTTCTTATATCCCCAGTTAGTCATCATGCTCCAAACGTGATACAAAACTAACTCCAGGAGATCATTTGCTGTCGCAAATAACAAGACTGATTTTTGTGTGGGTAAAAAAGAGTTTGGGAAGGCAGACTTTGATAGTTATTTTTATTATAATTTACCATCTATAACTTCACCGATACTCTAACCACTTTCTCTGTGCCTACATTTATGTACTATGAATAGATTCTTAAAGCCATTCCTCCAGTACATGAGTAAAAATAAACGTCACTTCGTGGAACTAAAATGTTGATTAGTTAACATAGAAACGAACTGTCTTCTACATCCAAAGTCCTACGGTGCGCGACTGGCTCAGTTGTTTATATTAATTTCAATAATTATTGTCCTGTCAAAGTGGGATAATAGGAATCACGTATTTGAAATCGAATCGCTAGTTTGTGTTCAGTATACCTGTGCAATCAAATGTTAACCAGGTATCAATCAATCATCAAATATTTGCTTTACGCCCGTTTCATTTCAATCCTAATTTTACCACACTTCCGAACTCTGCATTCAAGTACATATGACATTTATGTTGTATTCTGTTTACTGTATATTTCACAAAGGTCTCCGAAAATCCCAGTCCAAAAGAGAAGGCGTCTATTGTCCTCAGACGATGAGAATAGAGACAGTCGTGATACCTATTATGCAGAGTCGTAAGTATTCCAACTGAATGGTTTTTGGTCAAATTTTTCAACATTAATCCAAGCATATCGTATATATTTAAACCACAGTGATTTGTGACAGCTTTGTGATCACAAACCGTAGACTGGTTAATCATGAGTATATGATGTATTCTCGCCTTATTCCGCGTTTCAGATAGGATTAATTGAAATATGTATGCCGCTTTGTTAGTAAAATTTCCTGTACACTCAAGGAGGCATTGCATTATTATAGTGAGTCTAATTAACTCATTAGAATCAAATCTTAATAGTTTTTACCCGGTGGTCTATTTGATACATCCTAAGCATGAAAGTTGCCGAATTATTTCACTCAATAAACGGTAAAAACACATGGAACCATTGTATTCTGTTATGCTCTAGTTCTGAAACATTTGGGTGAATAATGTCTCGTGTTTGTCATTAGCCAAGATCAATGAGCATCGGCCACATAATTGTTGCTGAGGCTTTTACCGTACATCTAGAAACGCCGGAGTTGTGAACACAAAATAAACTTGTACGACCCCTTGTGACATGTTCTTGATCGCTAATTTTCTTAAGCTCTCAGTCTAAGCTTCTCTATTAACCTTTTACTCTCAACCGTCATATTTCTATTACTATTTTCTTCTTAATTACATTTCGTTTCAACACTTAATCTTATTATTATAGGCAACCCTCTCATACAATTATTAATCTGTCATACTGACTACATTGCCAGTTTCTTAATAAAAATATTTTTGGTGCTTTTATTTATCTTACCTCGTTGGTATTATATTGTTATGATTACAATAATGTGAGTATTTTTACTTGATTTCCGGGATTTGTGTGTAAAACCACAATCTTTATTTGAAAAATTAGTTAGGTTTTTTTGAAACTCGCAATTATAACTTAGGTTTTTAAATCTTAATTGTTTTTTTTCTCTTAAATTTTCCTTGTTTTGTAAATATAGGCCAATTAAAGTACAACATCCGGAGAATAATGAACCTGTTGGTAGTGTATTTCGTAGAGTGCAAATATTATCTTCGGACTCTGAATAAAATGCAAATATTCATTATCTATTAAACATGTATTTTAATTCTGATGTAATTCCTAAATACAGAGACTCAACTATTGTGAAAAGAAAAAGGTCTTTTGCTAACAATATATTTACAGATTCAAAGAATGGTATTTTTATTTTGGATTCTTTAGATTTGTTTGTTCATATAATTTTTTTCTTACCCATAGAAATCAAAAATTTCTGGATTAGCACAATTGTTTTTACACAATATACCTGCTATACATAATAACCCTTATCTTTTTCGTTTTAACGATAATTTTTCCGCTACCTGCAAGCCACCTACAACCGGTGGTCGTACGATATCCAACTTTTTTGCGATTTGAAGAGGACCTTCAAAGTTTTCATTCTGACTTTTAGCGTCGATAATAAGTTGATTAAGTAGCGTTTTCGCACAATGTGGTTTTATTCCCAGCTTTGCCTGTCCCATTGCCCATTTGTCGCATGCTCTAATCATCGGATATATGAGATGATGAACAATGAAATCTTTTAATCTAAAACTAATTGTTGGTGCACTCGTTGATTCTGTTGTCTTTGTTTTCTTCCTTTTGATATTTGCGCTTTCTTTTATAACTGAGCAACTTGAAAGATGTGATACGATCGATTCTAAAGGGACCTTGATCGCTCGAGACATCTCAGCGTAAACTTCACGGTCTTCAATTCTGAGAGCATGAAATGGTCTGACAATTGCAGCCATACAACTACAAAGCACTTCATCCATTTCATCACATGGTATATCCTGCTGACTACCTATAACATAATAAATAGGAAAAACGATTATTTGGTTGCTATCTGATATTCACAGTTAAAGCTATATTTATCGATTTTTCGCTGAACAACCATTCTAACTCGTGTTTGAAGGTGACTGGATTGAAACATTAGTAAGTAGACAAGAGTCTTAGGAACGGATCATTACATGCAGCATATCTGCTGATCAGCCTTGACCTACTGCACCTAGATTTTAGGTCAACATCTTCAACACGCTGAGTAAGCATTTACATACGGTATGTTAATTATTATCTGAATCAAAGTGCTGCTTTGTCGTCTCTGAGTTTGAATCAAACAAGTTTATCCATTATTATACTTATTCGAATTGTTTCAGCCAATGATTACAGCATGTAGTTTCTTCGTAAGGCGAATGATTAACTTGATAGTTCGTCTACCATAACAACCAACCTTATGCAGCAAGCAGTGTGGACAAATTGTTCTTTTTGGCACTAGTTTCTCAACAACTGACTGGTTTCATTGAATAAAACATATGCGTGTTGAAATCGCCAAACGTGGATTGTGTTTTTACATTCTTATCGAAGGACATACGTTGGAAGAACACATATTAACGATTGAAACTGAACAAACGTTATATCAGGATGAAGATTAAAGAGATGGTAACTTTGGGAACTAATTTACGGATTATTATATATATTTTGATTGTACAATTACTAAGTAATCAGGTCTATATATATATATATATCTTATCATAAGATTTCGTCTGATTCACTAATTATTGTACGATTTACTATTGCTAATTTGTTGTCGGTTTGTTATTTACTGTCTTTCCTGCTACTGGTTACCTTTGGCTTGTTCATAAACGATTATTATTTTATGGTGTGATGCAGTCCGATTTACATGTATATAAACTGTAACTGTCTGGAATGTAATAAAGAACAGGCTGGTTGCCGACTTCCGGACTTAAGTACAGGGCAGATAAGACCTAAAGAATCGTGGGTCGATAGGAACTTAGCTGCTGACTTAAGATAATTAGTGCGAGGTGGACGTGTATTCGGTCGGATCAGAGATATTATAAAGGTTAATATATCCCTAGTAGTGCGACTGGTAGTGGACATGACGTCGAAATTTGAAAATGACTAATAAGTAGATGATTTTGCATTTAATGTGTTGCACCTAGCTATCAGAAGAAAAACCAGTTGTATCAGTCCGAGAGGATACTGTTTCTGGTCGTGTACTATCTTAATCACCTCAGTTTTCAGTACATTATTAGAAAACATTATTTCGTGCTACTGTTCACTTTCCTTCTGACCAATCAATTGTCCCATAGTTATTACGTTACTTTTTTGATGCTAGTTCTGGAAATTTTCTCATAACATAGTTACATTAGTTAACATTAGAAATAGGAAGTCGTATGAAAATGTCTTGGTCTCCCTACTTTTCCTTTTTTCACCAATCTTCATTGATGAAGACTTTTTTGTTGATGTGATATAAAATATGCACATCCCGTCTAATATTATTTCTGGATAATAGGAAGTTGAAGAGAATCCGCAAAATAAATGATTATGTAGGGATTTGATCAGCGCTATGAACTAGATTATATGACATTGATTATTGTTAAACAGCTCAACTTTATACCGGCATCTCTGATAACAGCACTCACCGCAAGACCAATTATAATCATTAAACAGGAGACAGTCCCTTCAAGATTGCTGTTGCATTGAAACAAGTGTAACACCTGGGACTAATTCATAGATTACTTTTATTTATATTGTATAGTATAATTAGTAAATAACTGTACATTCCGTTTATCGTGAACTAACAGTGGACCCATTAGTTACTGTTTGATGTTTTACTCTCCCCTATTGGTTGCTAATCATTTATGTTCTGTTTTCTGCGCCTTACGGCACAATTATATGTAAAGTATGATAACATATTTAGGGTGCGTTGCGGTTTGATAATTTATGTATGGAAGTTAACGGGTGTTTGAGATATATTTGGGATAATTAAAATATAATAAGAGCCGAAGTGTAGACCTTCCTTTCAGATTCACGGCTGAGGATAGAGGTATGCGGACAGATAGATGAACATGAATCAAGCTTACATCAGTTTAAGTTTCTGTCGGTTAGAAAGTATTATTGCTTAAGGCTAAGGATTTTAGGCTATCAATAAAACAACAGTGCTGGGTAGAAAAACGATCAAAACTTTAAGTGAAGAATTTAGTACGTGTTCGTGACTAATGTGGTGAAACAGTACCTGCGTATATGCCTTATCAACGAGTGATAATAGACGTAAATACTAGCTGCCTCCAATATAAGACAAAAGATGAATACATCTTGAGATGGAGAAAACTTGTAGCTCAGGTGGATGATTGTGATGGTGTTTCGTTCTCTGAGCTGGTTGTTTTGGTTGTGGAGCTTTCGTTGTTCTTCTGAACAACATCATCAGCACAAACTTCAGATAGAAGTGCAGCAAACAACGACAGGTCAAAAGTCAACAGCAACCAATCAAGGTTAACAGAACAAGCTACAGGTCAAACGTGGAGAAATTCGAATGCTGCACTTCTGAAGTTTGTGCTGATGATGTTGTTCAGAAGAACAATGAAAGCTCCACAACCAAAACAACCAGCTCAGAGAACGAAACACCACCACAATGAATACATCTTATTGTTTAGAAGTAGATTATCTAAAATATCTAACAATAGAATATAATAACAACATACTGTTCATAATTATCCTACAAAATATAAACCAACCTTTTCCTGATCGATTTATTATAGCAATCACTACATCCGTAATCATTTGTAGGTACCAGTGGGGTGAGTTTAAAATTGATGACCTAAAAATATTTCCGTATGCAGTGAGAAAGCGCCCAGTCCATACAACAACATCATGGAATCCAGTTATGCTCATTACCTACAGAAATCAAAAGAGGTTTTAATAAATAATACGAATTGGTGCTTTATTTTCAAGAATGGACGTTATAAAACGGCACGTACAAACACAACATAAAATACATTTTAGGTTTTATGCCTTTGAATTGCTTAATTGTATAGGTTGTGTCCTTAATCCTTGATAATTCAACATACTCATAAAAGAACAGTTTATAAGAACTGAGTCATAAGATAGAGGTAACTGTAGAATAATTATATACAGCTGTTGTTTAGAAGATACTGACATTATACGGTGATAGATCATCGGTAGTACCGAAGATTATAGTAACATCTAAATATTACGCCCTCCTATAAATCAAGTTAGTCAAATAATTGATAGATATGTTTGGAGTATATGATGAAACTGTTTTCGTCTCCCTTCGGATTTTCATTTTGCATATACTTTATTAGTGCAATCATTTATTCTTTTATTGATTTTCAAAAATCTTCCTTCCCCTCGAGTTTTATTCGCACTTTTGAGAAACTTGTTACTGTGAGTAATGACACTATAGTGCAGGTTTTGTAAACTATTGTATCTACCTTGTTTTCTTTATGAACGTATGAGAATCGATTGACTCTTACTTATCCACTTACGCTTTTAACCCTTAGTGGATCATAGACCACTAATCAGCATTCTCCAAACGACTCTGTCTTGGACCTTCCTTTCCAGCTCTAGCCAGTTGTTATTCATTTTCATGTCTGCTTCCAATTTTCTGTGCAGTGTGTTTCTTGTTCTACCTCATTTAGCTTTGAGGATTCCAAGTGACGGCAGGCCTTGTGATGCAGTTAGGTGATTTTCGTAATGTTGTCCATCTACCTTCCGCGCCTTTTTCTAATTTCTTGCTCAGCTGGAATTTGGTTTGTTCTCCCTTATAGTATGTTGTTGCTGATGATGTCTGGCCAACGGATTTGCGTAGAAACCTGTTGATAAACAATTGTCTTTTAGATGATGGCTTCCTAGTTCTTTAAGTTCCCGCTCCGTATAACAGAACTGTTTTGACATTCGTATTGAAAATTCGGACTTGAGTGTCGGTTGGTGATCGTTTTGAGTTCCACATGTTTTTCAGTTGTAAAAATACCAAATAATTCAAACGCAAGTCGGATTGATTCTTACAGATTATAATTAATAGTACTGGTTAGGAAACTATTTTAATTAGTAATATTGATAAATTCAACATAAAACTAAGTAATTTTATCCCTTGAAAAATAAATCCTAAGCCGGTAGATTTAAGACAAATATATAAATGGGTAGTAAAAGTTTTGTTTTCATTTAAAAATGGACTGATTATCCACAAATTGCATTGTTTTCTATTGATAGCAGCTTTAAGATACAGGCTTTCATACAAACCTTCATAAACAGGATTATTGAAAGTAAAAGATGAGGACATCTGACAGCATTCAGCAAATAATGCAATCTGAACACTTTGATCGAGACACGTATTGCTGATATTTAGAATGTTATATTGATCCTTAAGCTTACAGTCAGTCAGTTAGAACGTACATAAGTTCATGTTGCCATAACTACATTAGCACAGAGACGCAATTGTCAGCTTAAATCCCATAGTCGTAGAGATAGTAGAAGTAGTAGAGGTAACGGAGAACATTAGGGTTCGACGATATCATTTGAGAAGTATGATTCAATGAGATAAATTTAGAGAGAGGTGATGAGGAATTCAGAAGATTAGAGTATCAGAGAACACAGAGAGTAGATACACCTGCGACATTGTTAACGATTTTGAGCCATGTGGTTCAAGATCTCTAACCATCGGTTACTATCGTCTCGTGGACCTCAACCTGGTAGTCTATATTTGCCAACATGTATCAGTCCACTTGTCAATGACTTCACGGATTTCTGCCACGTTTTGGTTTGGCCGCCCTTACCTTTCTTCCAACCTACTGCTACACCACAAAACATCGCTCGTCGACGCAGTCGGTGATTAGTCATACGTAACACACATCCTAACCACCTTAACTGAATTTTAAAGACTTCATCAATTGGTTTGTTATCCCTACCTAGTACTCGTTTCCTAACAGCAGCATTGCTCACTCGGTTGTCCCAGGATATACGAGCAATGCTTCGAAGACACCTATGATCGAAAACCAGTAACCTACGAATATCTTCTACTCTCACTGGCCATGTTTCACAGCCATATAGTAGGACGGAGCGAACTACTGCACAGTACGAGATTTCGTCAGTCACCAGGCCATCAGCACTGATGAGACTCCCCAGATAAGTGAAGCGGTCAACACGCTCCACTACTTCACTCAGGTGCCGATGCAACCCAGTCTTGAAGCAACATTTTGCATTTCGAGGGGGAAAACTGCATCCCTAACAGGCTTGCATTGTTGCTTAGGGTGGTCAGAAGACTGCATTTTGTCAGCGTCTTCACCGAATAGAACTATGTCATCGGCATATTCTAAGTCGATAAGCGAGCCATCTGGTAAAAGTTCTACTCCTGCAAATTCATACGAGGATAAGGTTATTTCTAGGAGCATGTCTATGATAAAATTAAACAAGAATAGAGAAAGTGGACATCCCTGACGGACACCACTTGATGTAGAGAATTCCGGTGACAGTTCGCCATAAGCTCTAACTCGACCAGTGGTGTTCTAGTAGAGAGTCTGTATAAGGTTAATGTACTTCTTTGGTACACCTTTCAATGACAGACACTGCCACAGAACCTCAGGATCGTTCAAGTCGAATGCCGCTTTAAGGTCGATAAATACTACTATTGTGGGACATCTGAATGTGTGTCCATGTCCTAGGATCTGATGTAGTGTGAATATCTGGTCTATAAATCCACGTCAAGGTCTGAAACCAGCCTGGTTTTCTCTAGTCTACTCTTCACGAGCTTCAGTTAGGCGTCGGAGTATTATTGAGGCCAATATTTCCGATACTTGAATAGTTAGACTGATTTCTCTGTAATTGTCACAAAAGGACTTTTGTCCTTTTTTGCATACTGGGACAATAAGTTAGAGCTCTTTCATTTTGAACGCCTTCAGTATTAAAGCTAATAATCTATAAGCTCAATCTAAATCTAAACTTGGAATGAGACTGAACTTATCCTTATGAAGAAAATTATCTTCCACGAAATCGAATAACTATCATAGTATAGAAACATACCTCGTACATTGGACAGGTGAGACCACATAACCATATGTATGACTGTGGAAAGTTTTTAAGTAACGTACGATCCGTAGCAGCTTGAAACCACAGTTGCAGTAGCACGGTGTAAGTTTTCTCATATAAACAAACATTCATATCATCTGGTTTTTGACTAACTGTCAAGCAACTTCTCAGACGTTTTAATATGAAAGGTGACTGTCGTAAACTGAAAATTAATGGTTCCACTAATGAGTTCTGGAGGTCAGAATTTCCAAGTAGTTGTTTTAACAAATTTAGGTTAGAAAAAACTTCTTCGGATGAACCAGTTTGCAAGCTATCCTGAAAACATGAGGGCAGTTGACTTGAATTGTTTTCAGGAATAAGTTTGATTTCCTTAGGATCTTTTGTAGGTCGCATCGGTGGTTCATCAAACTCAATAGAACAATCAGATTGGTCATATGTTTTTTTATACTTACAAGAAATTAAAATTCCTGCATTACTAGATATTGCACTTGAAAACATGAGATCTAATAACGTTCGTGAAGGAGGAGGAGTGAAATAAGGTCTATTCTTTATCTGATTATAAAGAACATGGCGCAATATATCTGGCACAGTTGGATGATCCAAAATAGTCTCATCAAATACTACAGAATTCTGGATACAGAAGGAGGATGAAGGTTTGCAACCTTGACTATGTACCCACTCAGCACAAGCATAGAATGTGAATGCTAACATACAATATGACCATGATAAAAGTGAAGGTAGATTCGTTTTCTGTTGCTTTATTTTTTCACATAATTTTGGGAATACAGACCAATTTAACTTTTGTGTAGTTGCCCAAATATCCTTGCTTTCTATATCTGACCGATCACAATTTCTCAAAACGCTCAATTCCAATAAACATACACATAGTGTGAAAATACACAATAGTGGGTTAGAGATCTCTAATGAAACTTCTAAGCCTTCAAGTAGTAGACATTTGACTTGTTTTCTTAGTACCATTGGAATTTTCATGAAAACTAACTGTAACTGCTTGATTTTGCTAATAAATGGTGCTATAGGATTAGTATTCGGAATTACATCATCCAGACTGTTACGGATTTCTGTCAAAGTTGAAGAAACGTTGGTTTGATCTCTTAGTGGAATCATATTGAAGAATTCCATTAGAATAACTGGTGGAGTCCTTTGCTCATCGTTTACCATGACTGAATGGTCCTGATAACAAGAGAAAGTATAACGAAAACGATTTTTCAGTCATGTAAAAAACGACTGAATAAAGTAGCCATGCTATAAAAAGATTTCTTTAAAGCAATCGACAACGATATACATAATGATATAAATTCATGATGTTTAGTAAGAAGAGTTGGGAAGTAATGTTGGATCTATGTATTACTTTATGGAGCAATAACTTAGTGCATCATTAGAAACAAAGAACGAGTTGAATGAAGTAATGAGTTGATAAGTAAATATTTAAGATTTAACTAAGGAATCGCTTTATATTCCATGTCTCACTGGTAAAAAGTAAAACGGAAAAAGATTTAAGTGTGACCATTATTTATCTGAAGTACCAGTAACAAACAAAACACCGGATTTTGTGATTTTTAGAATCTTGTCTATATGCCCACTTAAGTATAGACTTAGAAATGATGAAAGAAATCACAAATTAGAGGACAGTGAAGAGAAAAGTCAACCAGAATTCTATGACTACTAAAACAAGTTCAAAAAGAAACTTGAGTAGATGAGCAAATATACAAAACATGACTAACATGAAAGGTATGTGTGTGACATTTGAGGAATCTCATTTAACACATTCGTCCCGTAAATGCAGTAATCCATCGTGCATAGTTAACAGTAGTTACCGACCCATTCAATCAGTCTCCTATTTTTAACATCCCTGGGAGAAATTTAGTCAAGGAAGATTTTTGGTCCAAATAAAGATTAATGTTTCTTGGCACTTCTAACTTTAAATCCCGTACTCTAGCCATCCTAAATTCTTAGTCCAAATATTAGTTGTTGGATGGGAACCAATTGCTATCACAAGGCTCCGGAACAATCCGAAGCGTTACCATTCACAACTCCACGAACCCCCTGAAGTAAGTTTAGTTTCATCACTCTCAGATCGATCCAAATAGTTGGACTGAAATAATAGAATCATAAAGCCCTCCTGCCTCAGTTACAGAAACGCGTGAATGGCTAAAATAGTGGTGCAAAAAACATAATCCACTTTCCATATCTGTACATAATTTTGGTCACACATCTCAATAAACGTTCCTCACTTTTCGACAATTATTTGCTATCAATATTTAGTTAAAAACCAATTAATCATTCTCTGAACAGATTTAGTTAATTTGTGTTGATCATGGTTTTTTCGAACAAATTGATCTGATACCGGAAAAGGGTTAAAAATGAAATATAAATTTTATTATTCATCATTTGGAAGTTTTATTGACTGGTAAATGGACAACTACGGCATGGTTAGAAAGCCTAATAGAACCGACCATGTGATAACGTACCGCAAAGGTGATAATACGCGCTGTTTTCCAAACATCCAATAGTTCAAATGTCTGTAAACGAAATGGTTGTTGCTTTTGTTTAACTAGCTTCCTTATTCGGTAACAGTGATTCCTTTATATCTACGGGTAGGGGTTTGAGCATAGTTTAAATTAGTGCGTTTTATTGAAATACTGACGCGGGTTATTAAAATTATTTGGAATTTCCTCAATAGTGACTAATTGGAAATCGCTTGACACAACCTTACTCGGTTGAGAGGTTAAAAGAAACTTCATCAGAGTTATTTCTGGACAAACTTGACATATTCTTCAGGGCTGGTGGCGGTATTTAATCAAAACTTTACAAGACACATTGGCAATAACCATACAAGCAGATATTTTTCACACAAAGTTGAAAATAATATATCGGGAACTGGAATATACACTACACTGGTTGGCGCGAACTATGTTGGCTTCATTGCGACGAATGACTGGTAGTCAAAGAACACACCACGTCTTGTAGAGACCCTTTAATAACAGGAACTGATCATGTGGGTGCATACCACATTCTATAGATAAAGACTAAATAAATTTTAGAAGAAACAGCTATAAGTTTCCGGGAACATCAAGCCTATTACATAAGATGTAGGGCTAAGTGATCTGTTCCCTATGTGCATCAATTAGTGCATCACAATCATTCTGGAAAAGAAGAGAAAAGAGAAAGGATAAAGAAACGGAACATACAGCAAATGTAATTGGAGTTGACTCACGAACTTATGGAATGGAACACTGGTAATGATGATTACTCGGACCTTTCCTTTTGGGCATCAGATCACTCACTATACAATTGCTTTTGTGAGTTAACCCATTCTACCAAGTCTACCTGCAATAAGATTTCCTGACAGGAAGTGAAACCAATTCAATGTTACGAGCGTGAGTCATAGACACAGTTGATACGCAAAAGTAGCATCAAATCATCAACTAGTTACATCATGATACGCCGTAGTGAACAGCAGGCAGAAAATTGTTCTTCCACATGTACATAAGTGGATTGAAGTCATTGCAAGATCCATTTTGGAAGGCTATGTTTATGAAAACCACTCCATGTTCACATTTGTAATATGTCTTTATTAATTATTCCAGTTCTACTGAGTTCCTATGTTTCTTTCCGAACTACATTGTGCTGTTTAAGTTAATAAATACTTATAGCAACAGCCATAGCGGATTTATTCCTCTGTTGGCTGAAGCGCCTGCACTGACTGGAAGCGTGCAATTGGGATAGGAAATTGGAGGACTATTCCACTTTTAGAAACGACCTGTTATAAGAGGGATAGAATATCATTTATTCGAACACGCGGTAATATTGTTTAGGTAATGATGTTTATGTATATTTATGGTTAATAATAGAACTGTAACTTGCCCGGATCGCTTGTTTTGGATTTAAACTGGGAGAGGTATGGATTCTACAGTCAATGTCCTACAATCAAATCTATCCGGCAGGTACAACGCTGCTAAACTTTTTATGAAGTTGGGCTCTGTTAAATAATAGTAAACTTCTTATTCCGGAATAAGTTTAAGCTCCTGAAGCTTTTTCATCAGTGGCATTAGCGGGTGAAGGAATGTGAGAAGCGTTAGTCATGGAGATAAGAGAGATGTTAGGGGGTTTAGGAAGGATTTGATTGTAACCAAGTTGATCCAACATGAAGTTAGGGATATGAAGGCGGATGTCATTTCCCGGTCTCCCATAATTTTGGAGGGTGTTACTTCAGGAATCTAAAAATGTAGTTGGATTATTGTTGATCTTAGCGACCAGAGAACGTGACCGCTGAAACCCAGGGACAACTGCCTATGCCTGGTCATGCACAGCCTTTTTATTAGATGTTTTGGAAGTGTTAGCTCCTCATTTCAATTGGCGCTACCCCCGGGAGACGAAATTCCGTGAGTTAAGGGTAGGTGTGACATTTTTAGGATCAACCTAAAGAAAGACATTTTCCAGCCAGTATGTCTCGTCTGGGTCATCACGATGGGCAAGCCGGACCACCAAATTAAAGGAGAGGCTGCGGTTGACCTGGTGTTTGACAAAAACTCAGAACAGATGCAGAGGCCTCGATTGGCTTCAGCCGACTTGCATCACTTATGGCATGTGTGAGATATTTGTCTGCTAACCGAAGGACTGGTATACTGAGCAGTAGTTTCCTCCGTTCTAGTTTATGGATTCGAAAGACTGCCAGGACATTTGAGGTAAGTAGTATTCCATCAGAAGTGTTTTAGAAACATTGCTAGTGTCTCCAATGCTCTCTTTAGGAAACGAGTACTAGGTAGGGATGAAAAATTAATAGATGAAGTCTTGAAACATCAGCTGAAGTGGTACGGATGTGTGTTGCTTATGACCAATCATAGACTCCCTCGGCGAGCGATGTTTTATGGTGTAGGACTAGGTTGTAAGACAGCTAGGTGTGGTTAGACCAGAATATGGCAGAAATGATGAAGTCGCTGACAACTGGAGTGAGTAATGTGGGTAAGTGTAAACTACCCGGTTGAGGGACATGGCTCAAAGTCGTTTGAAATGGTGCACGTGCATCTACTCTCTGTGTTCTCTGATATTCTAATCTTCTGAACTCCTCACCATCTCTATCTTTCTCTAAGTTTATTTCTCTGAATTATACTTGTCGAATATCTTCGAATCCTAATCTCTTCGATTAACTGCTAGTTCTTGAGCTGACCATTGAGCCTCTGTACTCATAGGGCAACCTGGACTTATATATGTGGACACGGAGCGACACTCCGATTGACTGGTTGAGCCTCAGCTCTATTTTTGTACTCTTTTTCTGGTTGCCCTCTTCCCACAAGCTCCTAGTTTCGAGCCAACAAAGCTTTTTAACATTGAGTTTCATATCCATCTACTATATCTTACTGTAAGATTTGTGTCAGATTTTGCAGAATTGAAGGATGGGTAGGTGATAGAATTATATGAAGAAATATAATGTTGAAAACCCATGAATAATGCATTGAGCGGATAGGGAAGCAGCGTATTTCCATGATAATGCATCGGGGATATTAAAAATTCTAATGATAATGCATATTTTGAATTTCTCAAGATAAATTACAATGTATTGAGTTTTTCTTTTGCAGTTAGTAGTTTATATGTGTAGTTTCTGAGTAGGTATACAGCGTCGCGGTTCATGATTCGACTGGAGGTTCCGAATGAGGGAATGCTAAGTTGTTTTTCAACTGACGACGTTATCTCTCTATGTAGTCGAGAGTTTATCCACATCCTAGCAGTCACCGTTTAAAGCTTCTTTGGTCATCATCAACGCCATCTTGTCCATGGTGCTCATGCTGAACAGATAAATGAGCAGTTCAAGTGGAGATGATATTGCCAAATCATCGTAGGCCGACAATTTTGGAATAGTCCCATTATTTTACTAGCACAGACAGTTTTACTTATACCTTACTTACTTACTTACTTACTTTACTTTCGCCTGTTACCCCAAATGGAGCATAGGCCGCCCACCAGTTTTCTCCAACCAACTCTGTCCTGGGCTTCTTCCTCCAGTTCTGTCCAATGTTTGTTCATTCCTCTCATATCTTTCTCTATTTCACGGCGTAATGTATTCTTTGGCCTTCCTCTTTTCCTTTTGCCTTGAGGGTTCCATGTGAGGGCTTGTCTCGTGACGCAGTTAGGTGCTTTTCGTAGAGTGTGTCCTATCCACTTCCACCAATTCTTCCTGATTTCCTCTTCCACTGGAATCTGACTTGTTCTCTCCCACAGTTCGTTGTTGCTGATGGTGTCTGGCCAACGAATACGAAGTATTTTACGTAGACAGCTGTTAATAAACACTTGTATCCTCTGGATGATGGCTTTGGTAGTTCTCCATGTTTCCGCTCCATACATTAGAACTGTCTTGACATTTGTATTGAAAATCCTTATTTTGGTGTTGATTGATATCTGTTTGGAGTTCCAGATATTTTTCAACTGTAGAAATGCAGCCCTTGCTTTGCCGATCCGTGCCCTCACATCTGCATCCGATCCACCTTGATTGTCGATGATGCTGCCCAGATATGTAAAGGTGTTAACGTCCTCCAAGGCATCTCCATCAAGAGTGATTTGATTGGTGCATGTTGTGTTGCATCGGAGAATTTTGCTTTTTCCTTTATGTATGTTGAGACCTACTGCTGCAGAGGCTGCTGCTACACTCGTCGTCTTCTCTTGCATTTGTTGTTGAGTGTGCGATAGAAGAGCCAGATCATCTGCGAAGTCCAGATCGTCCAGCTGCGTCCTAACTGTCCAGTTGATACCGTGCTTCCCTCCAGCTGTTGACGTTTTCATAATCCAGTCGATCACCAGGAGAAAGAGAAAGGGTGAAAGTGAGCAACCTTGCCTGACACCGGTCTTTACCTCGAAAGAGTCAGTTAGCTGTCCTCCGTGCACGATTTTGCAGTTGAATCCATCATAAGAGTTCCGTATGATGTTAACTATTTTCTCAGGCACCCCGTAGTGTCGAAGAAGAGTCCACAGTGTTTTCCTGTCCACGCTATCGAATGCTTTCTCGTAGTCGATGAAGTTGATGTAGAGTGGTGAGTTCCATTCAATTGATTGTTCCACAATGATCCGTAATGTAGCAATTTGGTCAGTACACGATCGATCCTTACGAAATCCGGCCTGTTGATCTCGAAGTTGGGCGTCTACGAAGTCCTTCATTCTGTTTAACAATACCCTGTTGAAGACTTTGCCTGGTATTGAAAGAAGAGTGATGCCTCTGTAGTTCTCACACTTGCTGAGGTCGCCTTTCTTTGGTATTTTGATCAGGTATCCTTCCTTCCAGTCTGATGGTACTTGTTCTTCATCCCAAATCTTCTTGAAGAGGATGTGAAATATTTTCGCGGTTGCTTCTACATCTGCTTTCATTGCCTCTGCTGGAATGTTGTCTGGTCCTGCTGCTTTGCCGTTCTTGATTTGTCTGATGGCCATACTGATCTCCTCAATCGTAGGTGCGCCAATGTTAATTGGGAGGTCCGTGGATGCTGCTTCGATGTTGGGTGTCTTCAGAGGAGCTGGTCGATTTAGGAGTTCCTGAAAGTGCTCTACCCACCTATTTCGCTGTTGCTCAGTGTTGCTGATTACTTTGCCTTCCTTGTTTTTCACTGGTCGTTCTGGTTTACGATAGTTCCCGGCGAGCTTCTTTGTGGTTTCATACAATTGTCTCAAGTTTCCGTCTCTTGCAGCCTTTTCCGCCGTCGTTGCTAGATCTTCCACGTATTTTCGTTTGTCAGCTCTGATGCTCTTCTTCACTTCCCTGTTTGCTTCTGTGTATGCAGCTTGTGCGGTAACTTTCTCCGCTCTTGTTCGGCTGACATTGATTGCTGCTTTCTTGTTCCTCCTTTCTTCAATTTTTGCGAGAGTATCAACAGAGATCCATTCCTTATGATGCTGCTTATTGCGACCAAGGACCTCCTGACATGTTGAAGTGATTGCCTCCTTAATCCCTTTCCAATTGTTCTCCAATGTTGTGTCCTCTCCATTGTGTAGATCCTGTAAGGCCTGGAACCTATTGGTGAGGGCTATCTTGAATTCGTTGAGCTTTACAGTATCCCGAAGAAAGGCCGTATTAAACTTGTGTGATGTTGTCTGTCCCGTTGTCCAGTGCTTCTTTAGTTTCAGTTTCATTTTGGCGATTAGCAAATGGTGATCTGAGGCTACATCAGCTCCTCTCCTGGTTCTCACATCTTCCATAGTCCTTCTGAACGTTTTGTTGATACAGATATGATCAATTTGCTTTTGAGTAGTGTGATCCGGTGAAATCCATGTGGCTTTGTGAATGCGTTTGTGCGGGAATATTGTGCCACCGATGACCAGTTTGTTGAAGGCACATAGGTTAACAAATCTCTCACCGTTTTCGTTTCTTTCTCCCAGTCCATGTCGTCCCATGATGTCTTCATATCCAGTGTTGTCCATGCCAACCTTGGCATTCAGGTCTCCCATAAGAATCGTCAAATGCTTTGGTGAACATTTCTCGACGATTGACTGCAGCCTTTCGTAGAATTGATCTTTGTCGTCGTCATTGTAGTCGTTGGTAGGTGCATAACATTGGATGACGTTCATTGTAATGTCCTCTTTCTTTGTTTTGAAGGATGCTTTAATGATCCTGGGTCCATGTGATTCCCATCCTATCAGTGCCTTTTGTGCATGTTTGGACAGCATCAATGCAACTCCTTGTGTATGTGAAGCATTTTCCTCTTCATGCCCAGAGTATAACAGCAGTTCCCCTGAAGCTAGTCTCAGTTGTCATACTTGTGTCCAATGTGTTTCACTGATTCCAAGCACCTCGAGGTTGTATCTTTTCATTTCTGCCGCAACTTGAAATAGTCTTCCAGTCTCCCACAATGTACGAACGTTCCATGTACCTAAAAGAATGGTTGCTCTGGTTGTCAGAAGAGGCATCGGCCCCGTGACTTCCGAGGGAACTCGGCTTTCATCACGCGACGTCATAATTCTTCCTCCAACTCCCAGGGCAGAGTTAAAATGGTTTGAATTATTTTTTCTGGTTAGCGTTTTTTTGGCAAGTTAGTTTTTGACGGAATGGGGTCGCCAACCCCATGTCCAACCCTCCTCCTTTACCCGGGTTTGGGACCGGCAGTAGCCCCGAAGGTTCTACTGGCGGAGTTTTTTACTTATACCTGCTTGTACCTAAATCCAATGGTGTCAAGGGTACACAACTTTTGTAGATGCAGGGACAGCAAGACTTAGGATTCAAAGTAAGTCACAACTGTCCAGAAAGGATACATTGCATAGGATTATCAGTGTCATGGTCACTTTTTTGAGCATCCAAACATTTTGAAAAGGATATTTTTAGGGTTTTATATTCCCCATATGTGAGGCTGCTCTTGAAGTATTGCATCCAAGCAACTAATTCGTGTATTACTAGAGGTGTAATCGAACCCATGTGCATTCAGTCTGTGAGAATAAAGCTGGCTACAGGTCTTTTAAAACTCTCTTACGACAAGCGTTTAAAACACAATATTTTTCCAGTCGCAGATCGTGAGGTGACATATTGTTGGCGTTTAATATTATGTATACGAATTCAGGTGTTAACCTGTTTTATATTTTTCCCCTTCGAAACTGACAACTCTTGAGACCATAGCATGAAGTTTCAAAATCATTGTTTAAATAAACTCAGAGAGAGCTTCTGTTTTTCTCATCCAGTTATAATTATTGGAACATCATACACGGATAAGTTTTTTATTCCTATCAGCAAATAATTTCACGATAAAACTTGATTTTCCTTAGAAAATAATCTTATAAGTATTTACTTAAAGCAGCTGACAGATTAAGAGGCTACCAGAGATTGAGGACTGTTTACCTAGAGCGCGTTGATGAAGCTTACGCTACGCTAATGTTTAGAAATACTTTCCAGAGTGGGTTTTTATCCATCCTATTTAGTGTTGGGACAAAGCCTCTGCAGATTTGGGACAAAAAGGTTTTTATTTTTTATCACCTCTTAGCAAATCTAATTAGGTTCGTAATGGACACATCAAAAGAATTACAGACAATGAAATTCAGTCACTGGTTTTAGAATTGTTAGGAAGCAATGTTTCGTATGATTCACCTTGTGTAGTCCTTATATTGTCGATGTAGAAACACTTATATATCTTGTCCTGCAGATCCTAGAAAGGCATTGGGCATTAAATTACCTTTCTTGGTGTTAATTGTAAAAAACCTGAATAAGTACTTCACATTTGAAATTCAGGTATGTCATTTTCAGTGCTCATATTGCTGTATATTAGATCCTTGATGACGAGGGTGTCAAAAGACGTTTCAGGGCCAGTAATTACCAAAGCACGACTCGAGTGAAGCCATTTATTTGCACTATGCCTCTCCGTTTGGAATCTAATTGGAATAATATTTATTTCAACGTTGCAGACTTTACGAAGCGCGCATACGGAACCAACTTTGTTGAGGTTCTGCGAGTTCAGGTTTGTAATACTTATTACATTTTTTTGGCTTCAAGTGTGTTTTCGTTACCAAATTTATCTCAAAGGCTTTTAGAATCAAGTCACTAACAAATTTAATCCCTCGGAGATCGTACTATTAGTACCAGATAGGTTTGCTACGCAATCGAAGAGCTGTACAAGGTTTGAAATGCCTATAGTATAAAGACCAAAACAAATAAATAATGTGTGTAACTAATCACTAAGTTGCATCTAAGCCTAAGTTAATGAACATGTGTGAAAAAGTTATTCCAAGGGTTTGTATGTAGGTTATTTCCGAATTAATTGTTAATTGCATAAGATTTGATTGGTACAGTCCACATTAGATAGAACGTCAGGAACATGTGTTCTTCAGCTCTCACTTGTTGGTTATGTAGTGCGTGTATGAATCCATATGCATACATACGAAGTTCTACGTTGTTATTGATTGATTGATTCATTCATTCATTTATCCACCAATAATTCGACTTTAGCCCATTGTTCGTATGATGCATTTTTGTCACTAACCCTTATTTGGTTGCGTTCAAGCTACACAACTAGTTCTGTATGCGTTATCTTATTTCCATTTGTAAACAAATGTTAATGGTCATCATCAACAGCAACGTAGAACTTTGCACGTAAGTACATCAGTTCAAGTTGCCATACCACATAAGCACAGGGATATAATTGCCAATTCAAATCCCATAGTAGTAGATGTAGTAAAAGTATTAGGAGTAATCGGAGAGATTAGGGTTCGAAGATGTTATTCAAGAAGTATGACTCAGTGAGGTAAATTTAGAGGGAGAAAGAGAGAGGTGATGATTAATTCAGAAGGAACTAGAAAAAGTTGGGCAGTCACGTAATTGATGCTCACCCCTAGGCAGCTTGGGACGATATCCAAAAGCCCCGGTGACAGCAGTGAAATCTGCTAGTAAGGTAAACCATAAGGTTAGGGAGAAAAGGTGGATCTCAGTAGCATTTGCCGAACTGATAGATGGACGGAAACTCATCTCAACTGTCTCTGAACAGTCCGAGGAGCGAAGTCAACTTAGGCGCAGACTGTTAAGAAGCCTACGCAATGATCGTGAACATTGATCGGTAGCGAAAGCAAGAGAAATGGAAAAACCAGCAATGATATGTAACAGTAGACAACTGTTCCGCTTCATCAAAGAAACTGGTACTAGGAATCCATCTGTTAACGAAACTAAGAAGAAGATCGAACTCATCATCCATTCTCAACCCAGAAGAATGGTTAGATGGGCAGAACACTGGAGATCAGTTCAACTGGCCTTCGGCAACACTTCGGTTACCCACAATCTCTAGTCAACCTGAATGGCATATCAAAATAAGTCCTCCGACTTTATGAAGTTGAAGAGGCTATAGGAAATATGAAGCGACAGAGAGCGGCAGGGCCTAACAGTCGTACTCCTGAGGAATCTAGAAATGAAATTGGATTATTGCTGGTCTTAGCGACCAGAGAGCGTGACCGCTGAGCCCCAGGGACAACTGTTTGAGACCGGTCATGTATGGCTATTTTATAGGATGTTTTGGAAGCGTTAGCTCCTCACTTCAAGTGGCACTACCCGCGGAGACAAAGTTCCGTGAGTTAAGGGTAGGTGTGACATTTTTAGGGTCAACCTTTTGTAGCCCTTTCGTTTCTTGTGAGAAGACAGCATTGCTGGTTGTCCGAGGGAAACGCCTTATTGCTATCACACCCCTCTACAGTCAGCAGTAGATGCTAGATTATGTAGCCATATAAAAGCGAACGAAAAATGTATTTTTTATCCACTTATATTTATTCTGATTCTCCAGATGTCTTTAAAAAGTTTCGTATTGGATTGTATACTTTGTAGCGGCAAAAGATGCATGAACTACGATTAGAGTGAAAATTATATTTTGAAAATACTCATTTTTTTCTGAAACATTTCCAGATTCACGCTAATTGTCGAATAAGACGTATATATTTTTGTGATCGCCTTTATTCGGACGAAGAGCTGCCTGCAGAGTTCAAATTATACCTTCCCGTTCAAGTAAACCGAAACACTTAAACAAATATTCCACTGTAAATTTTTATACATCTTTCAATGACAAGTATAACACTTTTAAACTTGTATGTATATTTCTCACCTTGTTTCACAATAGAAGTATTATGTTATACATTATGCCAGATGCGCAAACCTTTTGATCAATCAAAAAACTTTCTGTTAATTTTTCTATGACAGTTATTTGTTAAACTTCATGCTCATTAATGTTAGTTTTCTTGTTTCAATCAGTCCTCAATCAATAGCAACGTAGAACTTCGTGGAATAGACTTAAAAAGGTAAAGTAATGAAGCATCAAAAAGTTTAGGGTTTGAGAGAACACAAAGAATAAATGCACCGGCGCCATTGCAAACGGTTTTGAGCCATGTCATTCAGGGTCCCTAACCATCGATTACTAACATTTCGCAGACTTCAACCAGGTAACCTACATCTACGGACATGGCTCGATCCACTTACCATTGACTTCATGGATTTGTGCCATGTTTTGGTCTGGCCGCCCCTAGCTTTAGTTCAGGCTATTCCTATATCGCAAAGCATAGCTCGACTAGGTTGTCGGTGCTTAGGCATACACAACACATTTCCCAACCACCTCAACTGATGAAGGTTCAATATTTCATCTATTGATCTGCCATCCTTAGCACCCGTCTCCTAATAACAGCATCGCTCACTCGGTTGTCCCAGGATATACGAGCAATGCTTCGAAGACACCTATGATCGAAAACCAGTAACCTACGAATATCTTCTACTCTCACTGGCTATGTTTCACAGCCATATAGTAGGACGGAGCGAACTACTGCACAGTACACTCGTCCTTTGGTTAGCAAATGGATATCTCGCCTGCGCCATAGGTGACGCAGGTTGGCAAAAGTCTACTGAATCCGCGCTGAGATTTCGTCAGTCACCAGGCCATCAGCACTGATGAGACTCCCCAGATAAGTGAAGCGGTCAACACGCTCCACTACTTCACTCAGGTACCGATGCAACCCAGTCTTGAAGCAACATTTTGCATTTCGAGGGGGAAAACTGCATCCCTAACATGCTTGCATGATTGCTTAGGGTAGTTAGAAGACTTTGGATTTTGTCAGCGTCTTCACTGAATAGAACTATGTCATCGGCATATTCTAAGTCAACAAGCGATTTTCCTGGTAGAAGGTCCACTACTGAAAAGTCAGACGAAGATAATTTTATTTGTAGAAGCGAGTCTATAACAAAATTGAACGAGGATGAGGAGAGTGGGCAGCCCTGACGGACAACACTTGAAGTAAATAATTCCGATGACAGTTCGCCAGAGGCTTTCACCCGACCAGTGGTTTTCGAGTACAGAGCTTGTATAAGGTTAATGTACTTCTTTGGTACATCTTTTAATGACGCACTGCCACAGAACCTCACGATCCACAGAGTCAAATGCCACCGTCAATCACCAGGCCATCAGCACTATCAGTGTTAATGGCCTTGTGACTGACGAAATCTCAGCACGGATACAGTAAGCTCGATTGCCTTTTACCAATTTTTCACTTATGGCGTAGGCGAGATGTCCGTTCGGTACGTGTGTTGCGTATGCCTAACCACCGGTTGCCCCGTCGAGCTTTGTTTTGCGATGTAGGAATAGGTTGGAGGAAAGCTAAGGGCAGCCAGACCAAAACATGGCACAAATCCATGAAGTCAATGGCAAGTGGATTGAGCCATGTCCGTAGATGTAGGTTACCTGGTTGAGGTCTGCGAAATGTTAGTAATCGATGGTTAGGGACCCTGAGTGACATGGCTCAAAACCGTTTGCAATGGCGCCGGTGCATTTATTCGTTATGTTCTCTCATCCTTTACTACGTCTACTACTATTGGATTTGAATTGACAATTACATTTATGTGCTAATGTGATCTGGCAACGTGAACTGATGTACGTGCGTACGTCCGAAGTTGTACGTTGCTGTTGACTTGACTTGACCTCCGTGCATGATTTTACCGTTTAATCCATCATAAGAATTCCCTATGATTTTTGACTATCTTTTGAAGCACGCCATAGTCTCGAAGAAGCCTCTATAGTGTTTGCCTGTCTACGCTATCAAATACCTTGTTATATTCCATGATGCTGATGTAGATTGGGGCTTTACATTTATTTTGTGAGATAGTACCATTTCGTGCTTTCTCGTCAGTCACATACAAGCAACATGTTATTTGTGTAAATACAGTTTTGAAGATAAGGTCAAAATTTCTTATTTAGCATGACATTCACTCACTAGAACCATGGTAAACAAAGGTCAACATACAGTTGTTCTTGAACACATAAATTTGGACTTTTCCGACCAATCAAGATAGCTTCGAGTAGTTTCAGTGTGTGTGGATTTTGATTACATGTCACAACTCTAAAGGCTGATTTTGGGTCAATTTGATGACCACTCATCATTAGATGTTTTGCAATGGACGAGGCTGGGTTTCTTGATCGATTTTGAGATGATCGGCTAGGTTGATGAAACATGGATTTGATTAGCCATTTTGGATTATGTTCCCCTATCCTGTCTTCCAATCGGCGATCTGTATTTAAGTGTGTCAGTAATAAGCTTGAATTCGTCGTTCAATGTATCAGCAGTGCAGATTCTACTTGCTCGAGCGAATAAAGTTTTGTATGGGGCAGAAACTAGTGAAGTGGAGATACTGTCCCGACCAGGTGGGTTTGCGGTGTACTTTTCGTCTGATTGATCCGTCTGAACGGCGATGGAGCAGGATATCGAGGAAGGCTAGTTCATTATTCTTTTCTTCCTCATAGGTACCTTCAGATTCCGGTGAATCGCATTAAATAAATCATTGTTTTCATTAATGTCTGTAGAATGTGGTAATATGACAAGAATATCGTCGACATATCGTTTGTAAAGTGTAATATCCTGCTCCATCGCCGTCCAGACGGATCAATCAGACGAAAAGTACACCGCAAACCCACCTGGTCGGGACAGTACCTCCACTTCACTAGTTTCTGCCCCATACAATGTTCGAACATTCCATGTACCTAAAAAAAATGGTTGCAATGTTAAAATGGTTTGAATTGATTTTTCTGGTTAGCGTCTTTTTAGTGAGTTAGTTTTTTATGTGATGGGACCGCCAACCTCATGTCCAACCCTTTTCCTTTATCCGTGATTGGGACCGGGGCTTCAGGCGGACTTTTAGAATTTTGTAGATGCAAATAAATAACTTAAGTGCATGAAAGTAGTTGAATTAATCTTTTTCAATATCGGTATTTAACTTACTTAATTGCACCTGTTTCCTCTCATGGAGTATAGGCTGCCGACCAGGATTCTCCATCTAGCTGTGTTGGGCTATCCTTCTCAGTTCCCAGTCGCCTCCACTTCTTGGCGCAACGTGTTCTTCGGTCTACCTCTTTTCTTTTTACCTTGAAAATTCCAAGCCAGGGCTTGCTTCGTGACTTAGATGATTTTCGCAATATGTGTCCTATTCACCT